TGGTGTGGAAGTGAAAAATGTGAGTGGAGATGAACAAAAAAATTGGAAGGAGAAAAGTTTGTATGAAGAATTGGTGTGGAAAGTGAATAATGTGAGTAAAGAGTAAAAAATATGGGATGGAGAAGAAATTGTATGAAGATTTTAGTGTGGAAAGTAAATAAAATGGTTAGGTATTTATAGAGAAAAAATACAGAATTTTTGGGTATTTTTTTAAAAAAAATTCAGATTTTTTTCGATTTTTTTTGCAATTTTTTTAGCCAAAAAAACGAGGACCGTCGGATTTCTGGAAAAATTCCATCGGAGAGTCCCCGTCGCGCCACGTGGCGCCCGCCCGTTGGAGCTGTCAGGGGATGACGTCAGCGCTGGCGTCACGCTGACGCCAGCGCACGGTAAGTCAAATTTTTTTTACCGTTGGCGCGTGAATTACACGCGCCAACGGTAAAAAAAATATGAATTACTGTGCGCTGGCGTCAGCGTGACGCCAGCGCTGACGTCACCATCTCGGGCTTCAGCCCGGGCAAGATTTGCCCTTGGGCTTCCTCGGGCTCGTGGGACCCGCCATCAAACTGGGCTACGGGCCCTGCGCTGGAGACAACTCGGGCTGCCTCGGGCAGCCTTTCCCCCTAGCCCGTGAAGCGCTGGAGATGCTCTAAGTATCCCAGGTTCTGAGATAATCAACCAGCAGAATCCCATAAAATTGACTACTAAGATTCTGAGTAAGAATAATATCACGAAGGGTAATGTTTCTTTTGTCAGATAGTTTTCGGCACGTTACGTTATCAGATTATGAATTGTTGATTATATTTGTTTTTCTCATGAATTTTTTTTAATAATCTCGTAACATGCACATCAAAGTGAAATGATATTACTTAATATATGGATAATATCGAGACAATTTATTTCTCTAATAGACTCCTACAACATTTTATTCACTTCAATCAGCTAGACCAGCTTTTAATTTTGTGCGTACTTGGCCTTGTAATCACTCCAAAGCTGATCAACAGTCTTCCCCAGCAAATCAACAAAATACTTAGCACTATAACCGCTCCTCAATTTCTTATTGAGTTCTGCCACAAACCCACTTCTCCGACCATTCAAATAGTCCAAAAACCTAGCAGTAACATCATAGCCCTGGTCCCACCTATTCCCTTGCCCTGGCTGAACCCAGTGGCTTGGCACAAACCCTGCCTTCAGCCTCACGTAATCAGCAATTCCTTCGATCAAACCCCCAGGAGCTTGACCATTCCCATTCCACTGCCACACGTGCGTTGACTCATGATAAAGCACACCGCTGATCTCTCTCTTCACATCGCCTGAGTAACCAGCTATGTAGCCAGCGCTGACGTGGATTTCATTGTTGCTAGCATATGCAACCCCGGTTATGTTATCAATTATCAAAGTGACCTTTTGTACACTCTTTCTATCAGCGGCTGTGTTTTGCTGGAACACCCTCCAGATGAAACCGGTGGCGGAGATTAGGGTTTGCCTGCTGTACTTGGCTCCGATGTCGGTGTTGAAGCGGACCCCTCCCGGGCTTGCTCCAGCCTTGTTGGTGACGACGTAGTCGACTGCATGGGTACCATGAAGGGCGGTTGCTAGTGTTAGGAGGAAAGAAAGGAAGAAAATATGAGCCATATTTTGTGAGATTAAGTTAAGCTTTGGTCTTTGCTTCTGGGTTTTGTGCAAAATGTGCTATTGCTCTATGGTTTATATAGAGAGAGAGAGAGAGAAAATGTACCACTATTTTTTCCCCCTTGGTTGCGTTGCGTGTAGCAAATAATAAAGGTCAAGTTAATTTTTTGTTTCTCTCATCTGTTTTTAAATTCCCTCTTCTCCTATTCTGAACCACTCAAACTTTCTTTATTTCCCAGTCCACATGGTCCATGTTAGTTTATATTATTTATTATGCCTAGCTAATCATCATTTGTTGTTAATTGGTTTAGTTAGGACGTTTGTCACTTTGCATTTGAATTGCCTAATGCAAAAAAACAAACAGAAAAACCAATAAAAAGCAGACAAAAACGAAAACAAAGATTCAGGGTCAGCACAATTTATTTATCTAATGGACTAAGATTACAACATTTTATTCACTTAAATCAGCCCTTAATTAGGTGTGCAGGCCTCTAATTTCTGGCTAGTATCGGTCACCCTTCAACGTTTTGCATACCTGAGCTTGTACTCAGTCCAAAGCTGACCAACATTCTTCCCCTGCAGCTGAACAAAATAATCATCGCTATAACCAAGCCTCATCTTCTTGTTCAATTCTGTCACAAACCCATTTCTCGAACTCTCCAAATACTCCAAAAACCTAGCAGTGACATCATAGCCCTGGTCCCACCTATCCCCAACTCCCGGCTGGGCCCACTGACTAGGTATAAACCCTGACTTCATCCTCACGTAATCTGCAATTCCTTCAACCAAACCCCTCGGGGCCTGTCCATTCCCGTCCCATTGCCATACATGTGTTGACTGATGGTAAATCACACCGTTCATTTCGTTTCTCTGTTCCTCCACATCCGCTGCTAGGTAGCTTAGAATGTACCCAGCACTTACGTGGATCTCGTTGTTGCTTGTATTTGTATAAGCCTCTCCCTTCATGTCTTCAATGGTCAAGGTGATATTGTGCACGCTCTTTCTATCCTCGGGAGTGCTTTGCTGGAACAAATCCCATATGAACTCGGTGGCGGAGATTAATGTTTGCATGCAGTAGTTGACTCCGATTTCTTGTTCGAAACTGTCCTGGTTATGGATTCCCGCGGTGACGTCGTTGACAAAGTATTCCATGTCATAGGCGCCATGGACGAGGCCTGCTGCTAGTGTTATGAAGCAAAGGACATAAATACTGCGAACCATTGTTTTTGAAAGTAAAATGATTTTTTGATTTTGGGTTCTGTAGAATGTACTGTTTTGCTCTTGGTTTATATAGGAGCCTAACTATAATGTTATAGAACAAACTCTCATTCATGAGATTTGAACTTAACCCGAAAAGTGGGAAATTTCTCGATGATTTTTGTTGTTTAAAGTTCACATATAAAATACAATTTTTACTTGTAATTTCAATTTTTGTTACCCATAATATTAAAGGGACCAACTATTTTCCTCACTTTTGATAATCCATCAATTTAGTTGGTGGAAAAACACGATTGCTCGACTGCAATGTTTCTATTGCAGCTTGATCATTCATACTGCGCCCTGCAAGTTATACGCCTGATTGCAGAGTCACATTTCTTTTGTGGTCATGTTCAGCTCTTAAAACCTTAATTACCCAAGACCCTTGTTAGAATATAAAATAATTATCGGTTTGTTTTGGGCATGTGTTGATCAACAAACTTTATCCTTGAGATTTAATTTCGAATTCCTGAAATAAGTTGAGCTCCATGTGTTCATGTCAAGAGTTACAACTTGACATTGATCAAATAAACCAGAGAGAAGCCGTTAGCCCTAGATGTGCCTCTTTTTTTCGGAGGAATGAATGTGATCATCTTAAATATTGGAGGAATGGCCGACCTACTTTCATATCATAAAGATTCCTAATCATCATCATCATCTCATTCTCAGCCGAGTCTTTTTTTTTTAAATAAAAAAAAAATTCTTTCAATGGCATGAATTTAAAGAGAGAGCCTTTATGACGTGACCCATGAAGTAAAATCTCCCAAGTAAGGACACTTTGTTTGTTCCCTGCATTTGCACATGGTATGTTATGTACGGTAAACTTCGATACAATCAACTTTTTAAAATTGAGCATGCATACATGCAACTATTCATTTTTATAGCAAACCCTCACCTCACCTACTCTTCAATGCTTTTCTAAGTGAAAAATAGTTTTCCAAGTAAAAAAGAAAAGGCTTAATTATTGCTTCAACCCATAGAACGGGATTTGGTCTCACTTTACTATTTAAACTGAAATTTTCTCACTTAACTTCTAGAATCTCTAAAAATTACAAAAAATTTCACTTTACCACTTTCGTATATTTTCATCCACAAAACCCTTAAGTGCGCTGACATGGCATGACATGGAATTTTAGTAATTTTAGCTATTAAAAGCCTTTAAAATCCAAATTAAATAAATAATAATAATTTTTAAATTTTTTAGAGTTAACAAACCCCCTCCATGGCAGAGAAATTGCCCACTTGAGCCCCCTTCAATTTCAATAAAAATATCCACTTGAATCTGGTGGATTTTCTTCGATTTTTCTTGGTAAGGCTTTAATATGTGGGGCAGCTATCATTGACCTTGACTTGGACTCGGTTTTATTTTTTCTGCCGACTTGACCCAGCTGGTTATTGATAATTTTGATAACTTGATGGTCATATGTAGCATCTCTTTCCCTCGTTCCCACCATCTAGGTCGCAAAATTCCTTAGTCTATTTTAATTATTTTATTATGCTTAGTCATAATTCGATATTTTTTTTTTGCGCAGAACATGTATTCATATACAAAACAAACATAAGCCAATGGGGTCTAGCATAGTAAAAAATAGCTTAAGGTCTTAGGTTCCAACTTTCATGACAACTTGATTATATGTGTGAGAAACCTTCACCCCTCCCATGTAATTTAGATTATCGCTTGTACCAAAAAAACACACAAACAAATAGAAAACCCTTCATGAACAAAAAAGATTTAAAACCCACCACACATAAAGCTTTTTTAAAAGTATATTCTAGTCCAAATTCCAGGTTCATGATATATTACATCTACATCTGGTGATGGAGAGTGATCGAGGAATTAAACATCAAATATATATATATATATATATATATGCAAGTCAGCAATATGAAAATAATGTGATAAAATAAAAGTACATGTTATTTTAGCATTAATAAAAAAAAACAGCTGTCTAAATAATGAAAACTTTTCCAACATTAATGCATCAACAATATAATTTTACTCTCACAAATATGCAAACAACTAGTCTTTGGCTTACATGCCCAATAGACTATTATTCTACTAATTATTTGGACTGTTTTTTTTTTAATCTAATTTATTTTAACATGGTTAATTAGTTTGCAAATTTAGCTTTGTAGTCGGTCCACAGTTGATCAACTGTCTTCCCAAGCAGCTCCTGAAAGAAGTTGTCACTGTAGCCATCTCTCATCTTCTTGTTCAGTTCAGCCACAAACCCTTGTTGAAGATCATTGCAATAGTCCAGGAACCTTGCAGTCACTGAATAACCTTCATCCCACCTTTGACCTTCACCCGACTTTACCCATCCATTGGGCACATAATCCGCCTTCAACCTCACAAAGTCTGCAATCCCTTCTATCAATCCAACAGGAGCTTGACCCTGTCCATTCCACTGCCATGTATGTGTCATCTCATGGTAAAGTACCCCATTGAAATCTGTTTTGATATCACCCTGTATGCCCTGGACACAAGGTATCAAATATTATACGACAATAACAATATGAGGTTAAAAAATATAGAAATATTAATATCGGTTTAAATATCAACAACCGCCAACGGTCCCAATGAAAAAAGATCTTGACTTGTAGATGAGTGGTCATAGGTTCAACCACTCATGGAGTCATGGCACTTTGTCAATGTGTGTAAGAAAACCCCCTCCTTTTTCCTAACTTTGGCAAATAAATAAACAAGTAAAATAGGGTCATTTTCACTTTATTAACCTGAAGCTTATCTAGTTTCAACCTTTAGTACATGAAATGTTTTTCGTCTCAATCACATAAAGAAAGTTGATCTTCGTATCACTTTCATTCCTACCGTTAGTCTTTCCGTTAACAAGTCTATTAATTGCTAATGTGGAAGTAGATGGGCCCACAAATAATAAAATAAATTAAAATAAAGTATTAAAAAAACTTATAAACCTTTTAAAAAATAATAAGAAATTTAAGTAAATAATAAAATAGTATTAAATAAATAAATTATAAAGCCTAAAAATACTCCAAACTCAATATTCAGACATGCTAAAAGATACCTACTGTAGCATAACTTTGATAAATTTTGGAAAACCCAGAAACAAATGAACATAATTAACAAACTAAACAAATTAATTCAGATAATAAAAATAAACTGGAGGAATGGGAGAAGGCAGGGCCAAGGATCCTCAAGTCACAGGTGGGAATTGCAGGGAATGATAACATTCTTGCCGCACTTGACGAGATCTGATCTGCTGAAGATCTGGAGATCTAAGCTAACATACTCAACGCCTCAGATGCCTGCAAAGCAGCGTTGGAGAAAAGATGGCTTCGCAGCTCCACCAAGCCACCTTAGACGACCTTCTCATCTCGAGCTACCATACCTCAACGGGACTCTGTCGATTGGGAGGATCTTAGGCTACTTCTTGATCGGATTGAAAAACACAACCGTAATTGAAGAAGACGACGATACTGACGGCGCCGTTAGATCGCCGAAGTTGATGCTCGTCGGAAAATTAATCGACTAGTTTCTCTCCGAGATCGCTTCCGACGCGAAGGAGAGAGTGATGGGGAGTGCTAGGCTATGGGGAAGAAGATGATTGTTGTTTCTTTATTTATTTTAAGTTTAATTATTTAATCATGTTTTCTGATTTATTTATTTAATTAATAATATTGTTGGCCATGTAGCGCAATATGAGTGGTTCTATGTGGTATATGTATTGCCTTAACAGATTTGTTGATGGAAAGACTGACGGTAATTAGTATGAAAATTGTACGAAAATTAACTTTTTGTATGTGATTGAGATGAAAAAAAATTCATGTACTAAAGGCTAAAACTCAGTAAACTTCAAAGTAATGAAATGAAAATTATCCAATAAAATATCAACAAGGAAAAAAAGTCACCATGAACTCATAATTCACTCCTCTCGCTGCTGATTCATTAAATTGACAAAAATGAGTGCATGATGAGTTTATGGAGTGTAAATAATTATAATAATAAAAAATTTGAATCGAAAGTAATACCATAAATATATGAAAAATATTAACAAAAATTTACCTCAATGTATTTAGCCCCGACATGAATCTCATCGTTGCTGGAAAATGCAATGCCATCGATGTCTTCCACAAACAAGCTCACGCGTTGCACGTCCTTTCTATCTGCCGGTGTAGTTTCCGCGAAGAGGTTCCAAATGAAATCTGTGGCGGTTCCCATTGTTTGCTGCGTGTAGTCCAACCCCAGCTCATTTGTAAAGCGGATACCGCCGGGGGTGTTCAGGGCCCGGTTTTCGACGACATATTCGACAGAATGGGCAACATGCAAGGAAGCTAGGGCAAGGATGAAAAAAGAGAGAAAGCGAGCAGCCATTGTGTTTGTAATAACAGTGAGTGAGTTTGGAGCTAGTTTAGGTTTTGTATACAGAAAATTGTCATTGGCAGGTTTATATAGAACTCTATTTACAATCACTGCTTTGACTTTTCAATTTTTTGCCGTGTCCTAGGGTTGTGACTTTCCTCTCAGATTTTAGGAAGTCTCTCCACTACATCCTCGTCATACTAAAGCATTGGAACAAGTCTTCTTCTTCTTCTAGAAACGGTTCCTCACTAATAAATTCTTATTAATTGTACAAAATTTCTGGTCCATATGCATATTCATATATATATGAACGTTTTTCTTAAGGTCCAGCTTTCGTTTGGGCTAACCATATTTTACGCCATTAAAATTTGGGGTCATCATCAAATTGGGTCACGAGATTTTAATTTTATCAATTTAAATGTTGTCATTGACTCTATGAACAGGTTTATATAGAACATTATCTCCAAATCGCTGCTTGATTCTATGGGACTTTCCTCTCAAATTTAGAAAGTCTCTCCACTGTATCTTCATCATACTAAATCAAGTCTTCCTCTTTCTATTTTGTTTTTTTTTTTTAACACACAATATATTACTTTAATCTTTAAAAAAAACAGAGATGAAAGAGAGGAAAAAAAGAAACAGAGAAACAGAGAAAGAGAAAGGTGAGAGAAAAAAAAGAGATAAGTAATGGAGAAAGAAAGTGATGGGGAGGGAGAAAAGAGAAGAACAATGAGAGAGAAAAGAAGAAGAAGAAAGAAAAGAAGAAAGGGTGAAGATGGATGGGGATGGAGTGGCGGGGAAGAAAGAAACGGTGAGGAAGAAGAAGGAAAATAATAAAGAGAGAGTGTGTAAAACAAGAGAGGGGGAAATATTAAATAAAAGGAAAGAAAGAGAATAGGAAAAAGAGAGGGGATACTATTTGTTACAGTATGACACCAAACGAGATGAGAAATATGGAATCGGTGTCGTGTCAAACAAAAAAGGTATCATACCATTTACTATGCAACACCGAACAAGATTGGCACAGTTTGGTTCGGTATCGATATTCCTGTTTTGATGCCCAGTGCTAACATTAGGCAAAGAAAAAAGGCATATCGTTGGAATTTTTGGATCGATTGAGGAAGTTTGAAGCAAATATGAATTATGTCAAGATTTATATTTACTTTTAAGACTTAATATCACAAAACGTCCCTAAGATTTACGAAACTATCATATTGCATCTTTCTTTTTTTTGGTCATTCGTGGTCCTCAAGGTTAGTATGTGTGCTCACAAATAGTCCCTGGTTCCGTCAAAAACTCTGTTAATTTGCTGACGTTGCATATATATAATTTTTTTTAATTATTTAAAATTTAAAATTCATAAATAATATTTTGGTGCATAAAATTTTGGTTTTATCATTTAAGATTTTGGCTTTTCATTTATAAATTTAAAAAACTCTATTAGTTTGCTCATGTGGCATATGTGTGGAGCTCACATCTCCAATAATATAGTGTCATGTGTATTTAAAATACGATATATATATATATATATATATATTAATAGAGCAATGCTACACATAACACATTTTTATACCACATGATGTGGCATGTCCATATTATATGTCACATTAATAAAATCAATGAAGTGTATTTTAATTAAGAAAATTAGAAAAACAAATACTATAATAAATCATAAAAGAAAAGAAAATATTGTTGATGCCTAAAAATCCAAGGTTGAGCCCAAATAAATTATCGGCCCAACGCAATGTCTTATTAAGAAAAGACCCGATTTGGAGCACGCGAAAGTTCGTCATTCACGCTTGCACGAGTCATGATTCATGTGTCATACCAAATAAATATGCAATCTATCCCGCTAAGAGTTGAAATAAGCATTGGCTTTATGAGCCCAAGCTAATTATCCCATCAAGCGTCATATCCCTCTTCAAAGCAACAAAATTCAAGCACGCCAATCGAGATGCAATGCCAAGTGGAAAATCATTATTATTACACCTAGCCACACTACAAGCTTAAGTGGGCCCAAGCCACGCAAAATGCCTGGGGCTTACTTGAGTGGGTTGTGATATGGATGGTAACGAGTTTTCATGAGACCTATTGATAAGCCGAGAAATGGAAGTTTTGGGCTGCTTGGGAGCCCAAAAACTCAAGCTCATTTCTTGAGCTCAAATATGTGGGTAAGCATAAAGGAGAGAAAAAAGCCCAATACTCTAGAAGAAATGACCCAATACCTTAGGAAAAGCTCAGCCCAGTACCTAATAAAATATCTAGCGCTGTGTTCAACCCTTGCCAAAGCTTCACAGCAGTCAACATAAAGCCATCGCAAAACCAAAGGGAATTCGTATGTCTAGGAGGATTACACATTAGGCAAAAGCTCTATCCATTCTCCTTTCCTCTGCGAGCTCTAATGGGGAAACCAAGAAGAAAAGCAGGTGGCGCCTCATCCCCATGGGAAGGTCCAGCCTCACAAAAACCTTGGAACCCCAAAGAGTCTATGACCCATCCGCTATGGCTAAAGAAATTTCACCAAAAATGAGTGAATGGAAAGAAGAAAAGGAAAAGTGGAAATGGAGGATTAACAAAATTAGGGTTCTAAGTGCCTATAAAAGGGAGCTTCCTCTACCCAGCAAAAATCATCATCCAGAGTGCGACCAAGCTTTGTCAAGCAACTGGAAATTCACTCAAACAACACCACATTCAGATAGCAAACTTCATCTTTCACCCCTGAAACCTTTACAATTTCGAGCCTTATTCCTCCATATCCTCCCATTTTCTCCTTTGGCAAGCTATTCCAGAGCTTGACAGAACTTTCGTCAAGCTGCTGGACACTACTCAACACACCCATCATACCCCCATCTCTCTCCCTCTTCAACAAACTCTCTTAGAATCCATTCCCCCTTGTCTTAAAACCCCTGTTTCTCATAGGAATTCACAGCCTTCTCTCTGTTTATGCTAAACTCATGATGGTTTTGCTCTCATGCCACAAACTTTTCATGCAAAGTTAAGAATCTATCTGTAAGCAGTTGTTGCTTTTGTTAGTGAAGATAACCAGGATGCTTCCTAAGGCTTCACTACCCCCTTTCGAAGCATTCTTAGGGCCTGATTCTTGAACTTAGGCACATGAGTTAATTTCACTTGTTTCTCTTTTTGATAGCCCAAGCCCATTCGTCAGGCTGCTATAATAAAAAGACCCCTATAAATATTAAATCATTTTAATTGATATGGTTGTCCACCTCAGTTGCCACATAAGATGGTATTGAGATGTGGTATAAAAATGTGGTAAGAGTGGCATTATTCTTTTTAATAATTTAAAATTCATAAAATGTTGGTTTTTTCATTTTTAAATTTTATGAATTTTAAATTGTTTTATAAAAAAAACTATATTAGTTTGTTGATTTGGCATATATGTGGAGCTCATATCTCCAATAATATAGTCTCATGTGTATTTAAAATACAATATATATTTTTAAATAATTTAAAATTCATAAAATTAAAAATAAATAAAAAATTATGAGGTTTTATGAATTTTAAATCAAAAAATCAAAAAATTTCACAGGGACCATTTATGAGCATACATATTAACCTTGAAGATCACGAATGACACAAAAAACCTCATAGACGTTTTGTGACATATATATGTCACGTCAACAAACTAATAAAGTTTTTGATGGAACCTGACGGCAGAGACCATTTGTGAGCACACATACTAACTTTAAGGACCATGAATGACCAAAAAAAAAAAAGATGCAATATGATAGTTTCGTAAAATTTAGGGACGTTTTGTTATATTAAGCCTTAAAATAAATATAAATCTTGACAGAATCCATATTTGCTTCAAACTTTCTCAATCGATCCAAAAATTCCAACGATATGCCTTTCTTATTTACTAAAATCTAATTTTTCTTGGTAATTATGGAGAGGCTTTAATATGTTGGGCAGCTATCATTGACCTTGACTTGGACTCGGTTTTTTTTTCTTCTACCGACTTAACCCAGCTGGTTATTAATAATTTTGATAACTTGGTCAATTTTAATTATTTTATTATGCTTAGTTATAATTCGATTTTTTGCGTGGAACATGTATTCATATGCAAAACAAACATAAGTCAACGGGGTCTAACACAGTGAAAAATAGCCTTGACTTGCAAACTATAGAGGTCTATGTGTGTGAGAAACTCTCATCTCTCTCCTGTAATTTAAATTATTGCTTGTACTGAAAAAAAAACAAACAAACAAACAGAAAAACCTCTAGGAACAAAAGATTTAAAACCCACCACACCACATAAAGCTTTTTCCAGGTTCATGATATTACATCTACATCTGCTGATGGAGAGTTATCGAGGAATTAAACATCAAACATATATGCATCAACAATATAATTTACTCTCACAAATATGCAAACAACTAGTCTTTGGCTTACTCGTAGTTGTATTTGTAGACTATTATTCTTAATGGTTTGGACTTTGTTTTTATCTAATTTATTTTAGTCCAACTGTGGATACAAAACCCACATCTTATTTGTTCGTATTAGAACTAGACTTTCACAACATTAATAACTATAGTGCACATGCTTAATTAGTTTGCAAATTTAGTTTTGTAGTCGGTCCACAGTTGATCAACTGTCTTCCCAAGCAGCTCCTGAAAGAAGCTGTCACTGTAGCCATCTCTCATCTTCTTGTTCAGTTGAGCCACAAACCCTTGTTGTTGATGAAGACCATTGCAATAGTCCAGGAACCTTGCAGTCACTGAAGAACCTTGTTTCCAACTTAGACCTTCACCCGGTTTTGCCCACCTATGGGGCACATAATTTGCCTTCAACCTCACAAAGTCTGCAATCCCTTCTATCAATCCATTTGGAGCTTGATGATTTGCATGACTCTGCCATATATGTGTCATCTCATGGTAAAGTACCCCATTGAACTCTGGTTTTATGTCACCCGTTATGCTCTGGATACAAGGTATCAAATATGACAGCAACAATATGAGTTTAAAAAATAAGGAAATATTGAAATTGGATAAATATCAACAAAACATGAAGCTATCATGTAGAGTTTTTATTCACGTGCGCTCTAAAAAAGTCATCATGAACTTCTCATATTAACTCTAAGAAAAATTGAATCGAAAGTAATACCATAAATATATGAAAGATATCACCAAAAGTTTACCTCAATGTATTTAGCCCCAACATGAATCTCATTGTTGATAACATGCGCAATGCCAGGGATGTTATCCACAAACAAGCTTACGTTTTTCACGTTCTTTCTATCTGCCGGTGTAGTTTCATTGAAGAGGTTCCAAATGAAATTTGAGGCGGTTCCCATTTTTTGTTGGGTGTAGTTCACACCCAGCTCATTTTTGAAGCGCATACCGCCGGAGGTGTTTAGAGCCCGGTTAACGACGGCGAAGTGGACAGCATGAGCCCCATGCAAGGATGCTAGGGCAAGGAGAGAGGCGAGCATGAAAGAAAAGAGAAAACGAGCAGCAGCCATACCCATAGTGTGTGTTTGTAATAATACTGATCAGTGAGTTTAGAGCTAGTTTAGGTTTTGCATACGGCTCTAGAGCCTCTATGTGCAGATTTATATAGAACTCTATCTCAAATTACTGCTTGAATTTTCTATATTTTTTTCTTTCTAATCTCTTTGTTTTCTTCGATTCTTATCCACAACTCCATTATCTGTATTTGATGTTCATGCACATATGCAATAAGGTGATTCCTAATAGCAAGTTGCATGCATCATGCATGGTCCATGCCGTCGAATTATATGGCCGTTGAAGTCGGTCCACTGCTCTGGACTAGACCATAAACCGTAAAGTACCAAAGTATGCATTATAAGCATGTTTGTATGGACTGCTTTTAGTAGTTATATGTATCTGTCAGGAAGCTTACTATTAAAAGGTCAAAATAATTTACCCAATGTCAGCCTCGTCAAATGCTTTGTAGCCCATGAACCTTTTAGATATAGCCCACTTGTGAATCATCTGATCCGACATGGGCCTACTAATCAGGTTATGGGCCTAAACCCCACAAAACCCTAACTCTATTTTTAGTTTTCGCCGTCTCTATCTGCTTTCCCTATTTCATATACGCCCTGGTGGAAGGAAGCCGAACCAAATAAGGCTTTTGTTGACTATAATAACGATTCATTGATGCACTTCTTACCAAATAAGGTCGCAGGGTGGTTCACATTGGAAAATAGTATATCAGAAGGCACCCTTTCCCTTACAAGTCAAATTTTACGGGCGTGTTCTACTTATGGGTTCTTAACACACCCAATCCTATCTCCAATGGCCAAAGAATTCAAGGTGACTATGATATTTACTACAACAAGAACAAAACACAAACATGATACAAAATATATATTGAGTTATTTCGACTTCAAAACAGTAATAAGTTATATGTATGGTGATTTATCTACTTCATCCCAAATATTTCATACTCAATTTCGTGTCATGTAAATATTCCATATTGCTTTATTTTGTATTAGCAACACAAACAAGATACGACACGGCAGGAGATCATGTCAAAAATCTCATCATAAACATGTCTGAATTTTCTACCTTAGCATGAACCATTCATATACACCAAACCAAGAAAAAGAGAATTAAAAAGGTATAACTAATATTACATCGGTGTTTCACCGGGAAAAAAAACGCTATTGATGCTTCTCAAAAGACTCGGATCGGAACTAAACCAATTTACAAATATGAATGAACATAAAATGTATATTTCTATTTTGTGGCCTTAAAACAGTCATTTCCACTGGCCAAAAAACAACAGAAATTGAAAATAAAATAAAATCTGTAGTGTTTGTGTTAGAGATATGAGGAACCAAGGCTGTGACTACGTCTAATGCCACCTCTTATGCAAAGTTTTCCTCAGCCTCTCAGCTTGGCTCCTTCAAGAAAATCTCCCATTTTTGTGTGTTTTAAGCAGAAATAATAGCCTCCATGTCGATCAGTGGCCACTTCCCCTGCGGCTTGGCCCAGAGTAAGCTTGTGCTATAATTGAACTCTTGATGGACTCAAAAGTGGAGCCTCCAAGAGGTCTTGAAGCCTCAACTTGTACAGAGTATGAGAGCAAGAGGAAGAAGATGATCATGGAAATGGCATTGAAAGCCAAAACAAGAGTAGAAGAATGAGATTTCATTTTTAATACAGTTCCTGCAAAGTTTCGCTTTGATAGGCAGGAGGCTTAAAGAATGTTGGGATGAATGGGAGATAGCTTACTTAATTTCTTATATATAGAAATGAGAGAGAGAGAGAGAGAGAGAGAGAGAGAGAGAGAGAGAGAGAGAGAGAGGGTACTTACGTGGGAGCTTAGGGAAGAAGCTTTGATTTTTGTTCATTGACTTGGTATTGTGGGCTAGGGTTGTGTTTTTTGAGTTTTATGAGTCTGGAGTTTGAAAATGTAGACCTCAGGCTTTGACTATATTGAAGTTGTTCCAAATTTGAAATGTTGAAATAAGAATAAGTCAATCGTCGGGCCAACATTATAGTTAAGGTTGGTGGATTTTCTTGTATTGTAAATAAGGATATGCATATTAATTCAAATATTTTGGTTGCCCTTTTCTGACTCGATCACAATAGATATGGAAAGAAAGAATCCTCTTTCCTCGCCTACTCACTAATTAATGCCCAACTTGTTTAATTTTTTAGACATTTATAAAAAAATCCAAACACTATTTAAACATAGAAACACACCCAAAATCAACCCCAAAATCAACAATTGTATATTTTTTGGGTGTGTTTATAAATGGGTTTTGAGTGTGTGTAATGATGGGTTTTTGGTGTGTTTATAAAGTGTTTTGGATGTTGGGTTTTTTTATAATTTTAGCCTCTATTTTGGGTGTTTTAGTAAAACTCCCTTTTTTATATTCTGGCCTTTTTTTTAAGGACATTCATTTGGACATGTATTGCATTTTTTTATATGCTATGTTATGAATTAGATAACTCTTTTATTTAATTTAAATCGGGACGCCAATAATTATTTGATTTAGTGACACTCCGTCTTCATTTTATTAAAGTAACTCAAAGTTCAAAATTTATAACACGTTTTGGGCTGTGGTCAAATGGAGTTTCCAATCCGCGGGCAACCATGGAGCCCCCTATAAATTTGAAACACCACTTTCTGATGTTAAGCGGTATATATGCATGACACTGTAATTATGCCTTTTAACTATTTGCCAAAACTTTTAGGTGAGATGATTACAACATCATGCATTACCCAAAAAAAAGGCTGGCTTTTTCAAATTGGGATTATTTGAAAAGCCCTAACTTTTTTATAATCTACTGTTTTGTCAAGTCCTTTGACAACAAAGTCTGAGAAAATTGTTCAAAGCAAAACTAACTTGGTAATGCTTTGGCCCTGCAAAATCAACTATATGCACTTATTATTCAGCAATTGGTACAATATTGAAAATCAAAGAAGAAGACCGCCATATACAAATAAATGTAAGAAAAAAAATCAAGCATGAGAATTCTTACGAGTCAGGAACATGTGCCAGCACAAACAATGGATTATGGAGTAAGTAAAAGATTGAATTGGTCTCAAAATCTGGACAACATCCAACTTTTGACGTCGTTGATTGTGGTTTCAGACTCTCTCTCACTGACTGCTCAAATTCACATTTTTTCCAGAGTCCACATTCCATAATTTTAAAATAGCTTGAGTTGATGAAAGTCAAATTAATCTTTTTGTCAGTGCCACAAAGTCCTAATTCAACCATCTCTTATCACAGCTACTCCGCATATACATATATCCATAGTTCAACTCTCGATTTTTTCATTTTTATTTTCAATTTGAAAGAAAAAAAAAATGAAAGGACTCATTATGTCATTTACTACATGCTCAATTGTTATCTTAAACTTTGGATACTAAGCTAAATGATACTAATGTTTTAGTTATTCATATCTCGTTCTCATCCTGTAATGTGGTTTTATGATCAGAATCATCTATCTTTGAGGCCATCCTTTTATAGATTATATCTACAAAAAATCAACTAAATAGAAAATTATTTTAGTCATCTAATTGTTATCAAATAAATGGACAACCCTAGTATTTTGGTTAAACACTAAACTATCACACGGTAAATGAAATGGCTCGTCGATTTCCAATTTTAGTCAACTTTTTTGCGCCATTAATTCTTGCAATGACCTAAAAAATGAACAGTTGTTATCATCATAAAATATTGCACAATAAAAATGAGAAGAAGAAAAAGTATAAGGAATACGGAGCTCTCATTCCTCGTTTTTATATTTACTCTCATAAATCTGAATTATTTCTAACTTTAATATCATCTGCCGACTTTAAGGTCTTCAAAATTTGAAGAGCCTGCGCCTATAATATTATAATGTTGTCTCTGCAAAGTGGACACATTGCTTACTTACCAGGCAATGTATGAACATGTTTCGACGTTGAAAGGTGATTCCATTTGGGTGGCACCAAACTCTGCGTCACTGGGGGCCGAAACTTTTAATAATCTTTTGTAATGCAAAACATTCTATGACACGAGGTCTAGGACCAAAAACCATTCAACCATTTTGGCCTAAAGGGGAGCAAATCTCAAAGTTCGACCAACTTTTTTACTTCCCTCTGTCTGCATTTTCCTTTCCGTTGGGCTGACTTATTGCATTTTCAACATGTTCATATGAACCGCAAAAGTCAAACATATCAAAAAATTGAAATAGTATATTGACAAAACAAAGGCAACCAAAAGATAATTTTAACTTCATTTCGAAAACGAGTATAAAGTATGGGCTTGTTGCACTTCACAATGTGAATTTGTGAGCGCAAAACTTATAAGATATTCAACTTGAAAAGCATGAGACAGAGACAGAGACAGAGTACATACTTGCAACTTAGTATGACATTTTTTTCCTTTGTATTATTCAGTCATTTTTAATACAATTTTACAATTAATGGGAGAGAGTGTAATGTAAAACCTGGGTACGACCTCTCGATGCATGTACTTTCAGCTCTTCCTACAAATAAATAGTATTCGACAACCCGTAATGTACAGGGCTTGATTCTAGAAGGAAGTAATTCTGACATAAAGGATTTTATGCTCATGTCGAAGCAATGCTACCCCAAAGTTCCAACCTTCAAACAAACCTTCTGGGCGGACCTGAACAAACATGGAGATTTGAGTCCGAAAAGCACATCTCAACTGTGTTCTACTAGATCCAGGTGCCGTCTGGATTTTCGTGAATTTGCTACAAATCCCTAACTGGAATCTCTCTGGCACTCCCCTGAACCTCATTTGACATTGATTCTCAGGTTGCTCTTGGTCCTGACCCAATTTTCAGTCGAAATCCACATATATAAACAATAGTTCACACATGGATGCGGACTAAGGACAAAACCATGGCAGAAAGTTAACAATCCTCTCTGCACAGCCAGGAAAGCTTATCACCTCCCTTTTCTAATGGGAGTTGAGAATCTTATCCTTGTCGAACTCATCTCTTATCTTAGCATCCAAAAGAATCAAAGATATCATCTTCAGTTTATGGCCATTTCTTTTCTTTCATTTTTTCACTGATGAAAACCTGAGACAAGAACTGAACTTTTGTTAAGCTATCCTAGCAAGAAAATAGATGAGTTCACAAAATTTAATATAGAATGGGAAGAATGTTTACTCCATAAGTACATCCTGTTGTGATCACACGTAAGTTAGCAAGGTCATATGCAGCATACTCAAGGAATCAAATTGATCAGACAGCTTAGACCTGAAAGAATGAATGCATAATAAACTCAATAACATGAATCATTACGTGAAAACCCTTCAATACATATTACTCAAGCCTTAAAGCCAACATGAACAAAATCTCACCTACATTGATGGAACCCGAATGTGAACACACAACTTCTGGAAATTGAAGTTATGATCTCAAGGTACACCTTGCTCAGAAATGGTATCTTAGGCCCTTTAGATGTGAAAATCAGCACACTAAGTGAAGGCAAATGACAAGAAGCACAACTCTAGCTAAATGTGCAAGTTTCCTCCATAGCTCTCAGTGACAGATGCCTAAAAGATAAAATCAAGAAAACCATGAGGAAGACTGAGCAGAACACGGGTGGGCAAGATCGAAACTTGAAAATAGTGCCTCGTCATACTTAAACTATAGTCGTTATTTCATTCGTATAATACAATATTCCTTGAAATGAAATGTTCGCTAATGCAGTGGGATAGAGCACAGAGTCTGGCTTTGTTATCCTCATGGTTTTTCCATTTAATGAGTTAAAAGGTTCTTTTACTAATGGTTTGTTCATACCTCAAATACAGCCCAATAAAAGCATGTAGACGATGGTGCATGTCATTGCAACCAAAATGAAAATTTTAACTAACAAACCTTTAGAGAGAATCTTATCAGTTTGATGGATTATTTGTCAGAGGGGGAGAGAGAGAGAGAGAGAGAGAGAGAGAGAGAGAGAGAGAGAGAGAATTATAGCATACCAAAAGATCCTATTGTCAGCAGTTATCCTATTGTGAAGGTAGGCTTAGTATCTATCATAGAAAAAATGGTTACCTATACGCAGATGCTCTTACTTAGACAAAGGCTGTATTTAAGATACTCTGACTGTCATAGGAAAAAGGTCTTGAGAATTTTGATTCTGATAACAAAAACTACATACCTGAAGATAAGGAAAGACATTGTTGTATACTTGTAAGAAAAATTTTGAATTCATTGTAAACCTGATACAACAGATAAATTCCAATCAATTTATAGTAATAAATGCAAAAATATGAGAGTGAAAATGTCGCAAATACACAGCCTAAACATGAAATGCATCCTGTGGGGTATCATTCCAATGTAAATAGCACTTTTTAAAGATGACCATAGTTCAGAGAAAAGGATCCATCAAACACTAAAACAGTAATAATCATGGAGCATGCAAAGGATGCGGGGGAGAAGAAAAGAAAGGAGAGAGGGAAGGAAAGCATATTTTCCTCCATTGAAGCATTATTCTAGCCTCTTTGTAAAATAAGCAAAGCAATAGAAGAATTCATGTAATCCAGAGTTAATCTTTTACAAGGAAATTGGTTGTACTTCTTCTATGGTTTGGAAGGCAAAAGTACCTACCAAAGGTAAGGTGAGAGTTTTTGCTTGGATTATGAAAATGTGTGTGAACACGTGAGAGAGAGGGGGGAGGGGTGGGGTGGGGGGGGTGTGGTGGGGTGAGCAACAATGATCTCAACTGGCATCTATATTTACCTTCTAAGAAGACGAAAACAAACATAGATCTCTTCAATATCTGAGTCAATCTTTGACTTAATATATTGCCTGAGAAGCTCAGAGAAGCTGTATACAGCTTCAATCCAACTGTCAGAACTTGAATCCAGAGGATAATGAGATTCCAAGATAGTATTTCGCAGAATTGCAGATAAATTTCCACTTGACCCTGATTTGTAATACATCTCAGCAATAATATTTAATACCATGCACTTGCTGGATTTGAACTCATCAACCCACCCAGGAGGGTTTCCAATCCAAAGTGTGTGGTTCAAAGCAGGATCACTTGGTCCAGAATGATCCCCATTACTCACATCTAATGATTCGATAGGCTTTTCTACAAGAGGGCCCAACGCAGCACTTGAAGATACGTCATGTCTCCTGTGCGCAGGAAGCTGCTCAAGTATGTCAACTCTCAGTTCTTCAGGCAATTGTTGCAACACTGAGGTATCTACTTGACTTAAAGATGAAGGCATGATATCAGTGTTTCCAGGACCTGATGTGGAAACTGCCACATGATAGGACTCTCCCACAGAAGAAGGAATTGCTTGTTTTTCCACAACTGATTGCTGTATCACACAAGGAGACATACCAGTAATGTAAAACTATCCAAAACACAGATGTATAATAGTATTTTCATTTTCAGACAATGAGAACAGCAAAGTTTCCATAGCAAAATCCTTTTCTGGAATAAGAGAATAGGCACTGAAACAAGGAGCATAGATCACCTAAGAACAAGATAGACCAACTGAATCTTTATTTAACAATTGCAACAGAAGAAGAAAATGACAAAGTGCAGAGATTCTTAGATTAAATTTTTTAATGATTTAGTACTTTCCAAAACAAGGTGAGAATTTTATCTGAACTTAAAGCTGCATCACAAATACAGCTGTATCACCTTAGGCTATTACTATGGAAATTTAGCAAAAGAGCGTACGCATAAGGAACTGCGAGGCCGTAAAAGAAAAAGTTAACTTCTAGTTAATTTGAAATTCCAGCAATTGAAGAAGGTTTTGTTTCACATAATTCTGATTTTAGGTACTGACTGAATACATTAAGCATTGGCAAAACATAACTCCAGAAGAAAGAGCATAAGTGGGAAAATTTACCTGGTTTTCTACTGCTATTTCATTCCCGGGGACCACATCACTAAAGAGAGGTCTCCCACCCCCATTCCTTGCACCTAAGTAGATAAAACCAACATGTACATCAGGACTAGAGGAAATATAAATAGGATCTGCTATGAATAGACAGGTAAGGAAAAAAATATTACCATTTGCTTGTTTATGTGACACAGTAGCACTGGTATTTTCTCGTTTATTTTTAGCAACAAAATCAACTAACACCCCGCCATAGATTCCATTTAGTTCTGTAAATATTTCTGGAGGAAGGCTCTCAATAACTCCCAAATCAAGATGACATAAAGGCGGTGGTGCTGAAACCTGGTTCAGAGTAGGTTCACCACTAGACTGATGATTGCCTACTGGAGTTTGAATACCAAGTGAATCATCACATAACTGCCCTGAAGTTCCATCAGTTCTCCGATCCTCACAATCTGTAAGATGATCCACTGTGAAAGCTGTACAAATTTTAATTCAAAAAAGTAGTTTTTTATACTAATAACAAAACAAAAGAAGTCAAGAATAAACTGTAACAATAAATAAATATATATTACCTACATTCACCCTCTCCCCAGCTACAGAATGGAAATTAGATTGCTCTTCTGTATTCCTTGAGGCAGACATGAGCCATGATTTCAAAGAATTTTTTCCAAAACCTTCGAACCAAAAATATTAGTGAAGAAGTTGACCCCAGAGAGAGGTCAAGAAGATAATAATAATTAATATAGATTACTTCCTGTCTAGCCGAAGCGGCAACATATAAAATTTATGTCTGAAATGACTTAATTGCAAACAAACAGCAATATATTGAATACAGCTTAAGTGAACTTTTCAGAGTAATGTGACCTGCACCTTGCTTTGAAGTATCCGCATTCTCAAGCTTGGAAACTTGCAAGCCAATGCCCCGAATCTCCTTAACATCTATGTATGAGTAATCAAAAGGTTGAAATGAAGTTATAAGTTACTTCTACATAGATATCATCCCCTACTAGTAGCTAAACTCGAGATAAAAATTTCCAACAGCAACAGAAAGGAACTTGAACATGCTGTATGATTATAGAATAAATCAAAATTAAAATAAATAAATAAAAACCCACAGTAACGACCCACCACCTACTCAACTATCAGCATAATTGCATTACTTGTTCAGATCACCACCATATTTCCAAACGAAACTTCCCCCACCGCTGATTTTTTTTTTCTTTTGTCTGAATTCTGTAGCTGTTATAATAGCCATGCAAATCATCATCTGCCCCTAAAACCCATCACCGCAGACTGCTTATAATTTCAAAGCGCCATAACCTCCACTGCCTTTGTCCATGGCATAATTCCTTGTCCACCACCACCGCCGTTGCCAATTAATGGCCATAAATACTTTGTTGTTTCAGAAAACTGGTCTATCTAATTAAAACTCTAATAGGTCATGCTTTAAAAGACAGCCAAAATAATATATAATCATAGAAAACAAATATCCAGAGACCAACCAAATATGATGACTACATCAAACACTATATATGATACATGAAATTCTCGACTTTCCTTTCCTAGGAAGTGGTTCAACATCATTACAAGACTGGTAACATGTATTTTTTGATTTATTCCATTTATATGAAAACATAAATATTTTCTGAAGTAAGCCAAAAGAAAATTTACCTTTAGAGAAAGACCCAAAGAGCTGCCTTGCTATTCTCTGAAGCACTTCCACATCATCAGTAGCAACTGGAACCTAATATGAAACAAAAATTTGATCTTGGGCCCCAAATGCAGTACAATGATACATTATGCAACAAAACTTCTGTGTACATGCAAACATGCATGTGTGCCAGCTACTTGCACATTTGTGTATATTTATATAGGGTAAATCGTGTATATATCTCTACCGTGACAGAGTGGCTCAAGTTTTCACAGTCTCCGTGGCCCATATACTTCACTGGCTCCCCTGCATCTTTTCTTCTTTTTTTAATCTGTAACAATATATCAAATAAAGTAGAACAATGTCAGACTTAGTTCACAACACCCAAGATCACTGACATGCACCAACCCTTTAAAGAGATGAAGAAAGAGGCATAATAAGCAATGCAAACTCAACCCTTATTTGACTAAAACAACTTCAGAGAAGAAATACACCTTAAGGGTAAAAGTACGCCCCAGCACTCCACATCCTTGCAAGCGCAAAAGAAACCTCCTTGCAAAGATTTGAGAGGAAGTACTGACTCTGAAAACAATTCAAAGGTCAACTCTTGACCTGCCTACATATAAAAGTTATGTTATAGATTTTTTTAACAGTTTATTAGACTACCTACAAATCCTTTCAAATCCTTCACACCTCACACTTCATCCCAATCAATACCAATACTTACAGCACCAATAGACTTCCTTCCTACACAGACAGACAACCTAGTAAGCAATCTCCATCTTAAAATCTTTAAAACCCCCACAAACACACAAAAAAAAAAAAAAAAAAAAAAAAAAAAAAAAAAGAAACTTAGAACAAAAATTGCTCTTGCAGAACTGGAGTGGGGAATTCAATGCAAAAGAGGAGAGTTGGAAAGAGAACAGGGTCATATGAAACATAAATATAGAAAGCAAGCAGTTGATCTCCAAGGTATGTTCTTTTCCAAACCTGAATCAACCCAACTAGCCGATTATCTATGCCCCTACTATGATTCCACAACATCTCCCCAGTTTTCATTCCAAAGTCCTTTTGAAGAGAGTCCTGAATAATCAAAGAAGACACAAAGAACACATGAACATCTCTAATGTTAATACAATCAAATTGCAAGTTATTTTACAACAAGTTAAAAATTTGAATTATGACTGATCCATGAACCTCAACCAACAGAAAGTGTTGTCAAGTAGGATATCTCAAGAAATAGACCAGATTAACACCACATTAACAGATAACTCAGCAACTAATTCTGAAGTCATTATTAGTCCACTTAAAATGACAGACAATTATATGTTGTCACCCACTCCCTTTTTCATAGCTTTGTCCTTCAGAAATCGAATACTGCCATGGAATTTTATTTACTTACAGATCAAAACATTAAGCAGAAATTTAACTAAATCCAGTCAACTTACAAATTAGGGATTGACAAATATATAAATATATGCTGATCATTCTAGGAACAAATGATATCTGGGAGATCATGATCTGCCCACGCTTAGCAAAGTTGATTATTATATATTGCAAATTACTCCTACAAAGTAGAACCATAACTTAATTATCCCAATGCATGAAGAAAGAAAATCAAGGTCCAGATAAAAAAGACCTTTGAAATCATACGCAGCTGTCCACATGTCTGAACATTTTGCATCTTCAACTTCTCCTCTAAAGTGTGTCCTATTCCGGGAAGTTCTTTGATTGGAAGTTGATGTAAATAATCATCCACCTGATGTACTAAAACTACAATGTAAGTATAAGGCATACTGCGAAAAAAACATTCCAGGGGTTGTCCATATTACAAACGGATGGTCACTGAAATTCAATATAGAAGTCCATTGAGCAAGTAAAAAAGTTGATGTTAAAACTTAGAATTATGAGGTGCATAACATCTAAGTCATCCTTACTTTTCACAAACACCAACCGAAAAATGAAATAGCAACATTCATATGTTTGTGACTAATGTGTCAGTGTGTTTAATACAGAAATTTAAATTGACAAGGAGTCTACAGACTTCAGTCCCACAGATTTAAACAATAAAAAAATAACTACATCGTGGTAGTGAGTTACAACACTAATAAACTACAAGAATCACTAGGTACTCAAAATCAATCAGGAGATAATTATCAAATGAGACAGAACAGCACAAGCATGCCAAGACATGAATGGGTAACAAATCAAATGGAGACACAAATTTTCCAAAGGGAAATACCAACAAGATAAACTTCTAGTGAAAAAGGGTCAACCAAGGATCCCCTGGTGATCTAAAAAATGAAACCTCACTTATACAAAAGTTCTATGCCTTGTATCACCTTTTCCCAGTTTATTGAAATGCGAAGAGAGTTTTAAACAAAACAGAATTCCAAGTACCATTAATTATATGTTGTATTTTTATTTGTCAAGTTTCAGATTTGGGACTTTATATTCTTCAACAGTATCCATATAACATTCAAAGAAAAAAAGTCTACATTGGTTCAAAATTTGAGCAAGAGAGGACAATGCAAAAGAACACAAAAAAGATCATACCTTTTCAGGAGAAATGTAGCATTGACCATCTGGTTTTGCCGTTCTAGTGGCAAGACGAGCCATGAGCATATTTCTGGATATGCCAGCACTTGCAGTGCATCCTGTTTTCTCAAAGATCTCTTTTCTTACTGTTGAAGCTAACACCTCAGGATCTACCCCTTCTGCGTCTGTGATATCTAAAAATGCTTCATCACAGCTTACTGCCTAAATTAAACAACTTCAATATTAACAAGAAAGCAACTAAAAACTTGAAGTACTTAAATAACAAACTTCCAGAAGCATACTTGTACTTTATTGCAGTGCTTATGCAAGATGTCATAGAACTGATCAGCTACCTGCACAGCAGATCATATAGCTCATAAAATTTCCTCAACATGGCAAAATACAGGAAACAAAGGAAAAAAAAATTTGTTTATCCCTGTAAGAGAAATATACAAGGTATAATAATGAGATGCTACAGAAACCTACCTCCTCATAAGCTTCAAAATCATATGGAATAATGACAAGGTGTGGACAAAGAGCCTTGGCATTTCTAACAAACATCCCAGCCTTCACTCCTGACAGTTAGAAATAAAACTTTTATTTACAGAATATAAGCTTCCAAGACAAAATATAACACTGCTACTAAGACTTGTCACCAAAACCAACCATAATCTCGAGCAGGGTAGTTCGCAGATGAAATTTCAGCAGTTCCCTTTGGACTATCAGAATGGCATACAGCTACAGGCCTATCCTTCAACTCAGAACGTTTCCTGATGACCACTGACACGAAAAAACAGTCCTACAAGAGCATATTGGCATTATCTCACTCAAACTCTCAGTTATTCAGAAAACTTCATCAAGTCTAAGGTATTCATATCGCACATTATTCCAAAATCAATTAATTTTAAAACTCTAATGAATCCATAATTAACCGCCCTTGTGCTTAAATGAAATCACTGGGACCCTGTATTTTCAAACTAACCACAACCCCTGATAGTTCAGTGTCTAGGACATATCAAACTAAGCTAAACCCTGTAATTACCAGACTAGTATAAGAACACAGCAATCACAATTCAGGTTTAACAGCCTCGGATTTGAAGGGTACCATGTCAATATGTATAATGGCAGTGGAACTAGCAGAAGCACTAAGATTAGGCTCTGTGCTCTTAAACCCTTTAGAAGATCTGGGAAAGCGCTTACGATACCGATTTCTCCATGTTCCTATGAAGTGCAGCCTTGAGCTCTGCAGAAAGCAAAGATTCCGACAGGATATTAAGAAAGACTGCAGCTAAGTATCTTAATAATTAGTACAAAAAACAGTAGCCAAATGCTAATCATTCACAAATATGACAACACCACTAGAACCATATGACAGATATAACTCAACATTGGAAGGTTCTCAAACGGTATGAGCAAATACGTTAGTTTCATCTCAATTACTAAGCCTGAAACACCCATCATACGCAACTTCCTTGATTCCCTTCAAAAGGATAGCTTTAAAGTTTCAATTGGTAACTCCTAGAGGGTGATTGGTTTTGAAAATGGCATAAGATCAGATAAAATCTAAATTTCTAGAAAAGCAATGCAAGGAGTATGCCAATAAGTCATGGACTGCAAGATATAACTGAAGTATCAGTAGAAAAGTATTTACCCTTCACAACAACAAAAAAATTGCTTTAGAAAATTGAATTGAGAATTTCGTTCAGCAGCAATTAAGATGAAAAAATCTGGCACTAGCAAAGGAGAGCACACAATTATTTTTCAGTTCAGTACCTTGAAATAGTTTTCCACAAAATTGGGATCCCCAAGAGTTGAATGACTTTGATTAGACCCAGCATTTGAAGAGGTTGGCAAGCGGCAGCTGCTAGCGACGCAGATGTTTGGTGGGTACTATATTGAAGCTCATCTTTTACACTGCCATCATCTTCTGCAGCCGAAGTAGTCATTTCTACTATTCTCATTTCACAATCTTTTACACTACTAATATGTAGCTCCTGACCAGATTCTTCATTGTTTTTCTCAAACATCACGTTATCAGATTCTCCACTAATTTGCCATCTGTGTTCAGTGGACCTGCACACTTCAGATTCGTCAGCATCTTCCAATCTGGCTTCCACCAAAGATGTATCCTCATTTTCGTATTTTACTTGATTAGCTGCATCTCTCAAAGCATCGCCAGAGTCTTGGATTATTTTTGGAGCAAAGAAGGCTGACAACCTCGGTTGGTTACAAGCAAGCTGGTCAAGTTGGTAAGGAACCCCTGCAGTGAGAAAATTAAAATCCCTTATAAATAAGATGCATGTGATTCTTCATGCCATCCTTCAAAAACCAAAAAACAAGACCATGAGTAGAAATTATCAAAGTACGACCAATATTAATGGGGGTGAACAAGCATGATAGGAGCTCCTACACAAAGTATTCCCTCAAGCAAATACCCCTAATCCAATCTCACACTTTACTTTCTGATACATTTAATAATAATATAACTGTGCTGTGCATCAAGATACAACCCCAATTAGTTGGTATTTTGTAGTAACGCTTAGCTGACTCCTAAATCTCATTGTTAAAAGAAGACCAAATAAAAACTTTAAGAAAAAGAAGACAGAACAAGAGAGAAAGAAGAGAACAAATCCCGCAAACTTACAACTCAAGAGTTTGTTAGCAGAAATTGAATCTAACACCCAGGAGGGTTTCACCACCGGGAGCCCTCCACTGAAAGACCTGTATTATGATCACAAACTATAAATCAAACTTATTGGAGAGTAAAGGTATGGAAAAATACAAAAAAGGAAATTGATTTTCATGATTTTATTGATCTGAAAGTAAGGAAAAATTATGAACCTCAAATTTTTTACTTTACTGTCAGGAAGATTACTGCAAATGATATGCGTAACACGATGTCTCGAAAAGTAATTCTCATATCTTCCACCATAGTTCAGCATGTAGCCTCGCAGTTCCTGAAACAGCTTATCATCAACAACACCAAGAAAAACCCACATGAAACAACTCCTCTCCCTTTGGTGCTAAGACTCATTGAGGAAAATCAATAGAAAAGGAACCTCAAATCATTCATTCTCCACTGCTAAGTTTTAGCCAACCTTAATGTTACGGGCAATTGATTCAACAGCCAAATAGAGGTGAACATCAGAAATCAAACAAACCTGACTGGAAGGAACCGTGTAACCATCCACAAATATAGACACCCCGCGAAAAATATTCTTCCCGGTATTTAAACCATTATGCGAAGAACTCGAAGCTTCACTATCAAACTGATTATGGAGTTTTCTGTTCTTCTCTACCATGTAACTGCACTCAATTTGACAAAGAACAAACACAGATTCAAAATTTTGATAAAAAAAAGACACAAAACTAGGCCTTATTGTTCTTCTCATCCAATTCCCAATTTCTATAGTATTGATCAAACGCTAATTAATAATTCGTGAAAGAAGTACCTGCCGAAATCGGAGAATGGGGATTTCTTGAAGGAGGAGCGAGAGGAAGAGAGAGAATTGGCGCCCCAAGATGCGCCTAGGGTTTTCTGGTTGGTCGTCTTCTTCTTCTTAGAGTTACTGTTAGCGGAGTGGTTCGAAGAGTTGGAATTGAAGCTTCGTTTCGATCGTTGGCCAGACGATCCCGCAGAGCGAGACGAATTCATACTCATTTCTATGGAGAAAGCGTGTTCAGGAAGCTGTTAGACGTTACTGTGCAAACGTTTTTTCAAATGAAGCGGCAAATTGAAAGCCCGATTTATATGTGTCTAGGATTGACCGGCCTTGCTGGTATAGGCGCCATTCGCCGGTGATGGGATTTTTAACGGTCAAGTCCGGTTTGGTATTTTTTTTCAGTTTTGGTAGCGTAGGAGACCAAGGCCCAAAATACCAAAAGAAGACTGCACAAGAACATGGGCCTAGCAACCCTATATGGGCCCACTATTTACAAATGAATGCTACATTGAAGGATATAAAATTTCATGTGGGTTTATGCCCTTCCCTTTCAAATAACCGGTCAAACATCCATGTGCATTAGTGGACGACAAAAATGCACAACAAAATTGATATCTCATCATGGCATAGAGTCTAGTATTAATAAACAGATATACATGAATTTGTAACATCACGTAGCAATGTGACCTAGTTAAACGTGTTTTTTTCTCGTTAAAATCAAGTTATATGATTCGATATAATAAACTCACCCTATTATTTTTCCTTTAAAACTAGAAAGAACAAAAAATTAACTCCTACATGAGTAAGATCCAGCCCAATGCACAAAAATTCAGTACAATCTATCTCTGAAATGCAAGAACTGCAAAAAGAAAACTGCACAAGATGGTTGTAGGCTCATTCTGAAGATGGCATTGGTAATTGGTTAACCCAAGGAAATTTACAGATGTAAGCCATGCAAATACAATCCCATCCAAAACCCACATGTATTCCTTCCTTCCTTTTCTCACTTTTTCACTTTTTCTCCATTTCAGAATTACCAAAAAGAACGAAGACAAAAACCATTTTCCACACCCACAGCTACTAACTTTCCTCTATAACCCTAAAAGCAGAACCAGCCAAATTCCATGTGATTTTCAATTCCTCTGCTTCGCATGTCTTCCTCTGTATTCTCTTTTACCCTTTTCACGGTTTTCCTCAAAAATAGGTGTCGTCATGTCAAATTTATAGGCTTCTAAAATGACCAAAACGAGCAGGCACTAGGCGACCATGTACAAAAGCCAATTCCATGTTCAATACTTGGTTGAAGAAACATTATTGTCGTTGTTGGCCATGGCTGGTGACCAAAAATCAGCACCATTGTTGTTTGTCACGTGCATTGTGTACTCCACAGGGGCCAGGCAGAGTCCTCTGCTCCTTAGGTCCTTTCTTGCTTCCTCCATCTCTCCATCCTTCCAATTTTCAAACCCAATTTCACACACACAAGTGAAAACCACAGTGGAATTATATAAAAAAATAAACTTGAAATTTTTGGGAAAATCCCAGTTTTTTTTTAATACAAGCTATAGTCTAGATTACTCTAAATTAACCTAATTTGCAGGAATTGAGACTCAAACTTGAATGTAAGGAGACGACTCACCGTTTAGGGTTTTGACTAATTGACTATAAGTATTGACCAGGAGAAGGCTCTGTTTCTTTTTTATTTATTTTTTCACTCATAGGGTCAGTAAAGTCACATCTGTTTGGGACCCATGGAGGCTGGGACCCAGTGACACGTCACAGTGGACGTAGATGGAAGAAGAAAGAAGAAAAATCTGACAGAGATGGTGTTGTGTGTGCAGCAAAACTTTCTTATAACGGGGATACCATTATTTTGCTATGCGACCAATAATACAATAACACGTAAAAGTTATCCCTCCTGTCATTCTTGGCCCTTTTGAAAGTCTCTTGTTGTGTGTGTGGGTTTTGTTGGGACTTACAGGTAATGTAGGCAGGCGTTGCAGGTAAGGCGAGCACAGAACCTGAACCTGGTCGTGCAGGAACCTGATGTATCCCATCGCTTCGTGAAGCACTGATGCAGTATCTGTCTGCAGCAAGAACCCAATTTCCAATTTCCCGAAAACATTTACCAAAATGTCAAACTTCTATAACAATTTTATAATTCTATTCAATCAGATACATTTTGCAACCAAAAACAAAGAAAAAAAACTATCTGGGTCAAGTTGGGTTTTGGAATTTGACCTTGCCAAAGGGTGATACAAGTTGTTGCAGAGCTGCAATTCGTTCTCCAAGCTTCTCTTTCCTCTATGATGCAGAAAAATTCAAACCCATTTGGTAAAATCTTGCCAGAAAATACAGAGAGCATAGCATGCAAAGAGTGTGAGTGAGGGAGAGACAGGGGCATGCAATGGTGCAGATTAGTTTTTTTGTGTTTCTTGTTGAAATTTCTGACCTTTGCGTTGCCTGTCGATGTGTGATTCTCAGATTTCGTCTTCTTGGAGGTTCTCTGGCTTGCAATCATCGTTGTGCTGATGGTGCTTGCACACTGCACCGACTCTTGGCCTAACCCATTTCTCCTTTTCTGCCATTAAACCCAAAAAGCATCACAAAATCGTAAAGGAAAACAAATTAAATTAAAAATTAAAAAAGGAATTAAGAACTTGTTGATCACTGACATTGTTGGATTTGGGCAATGCGTTGATGCTTGTGTTGCTGGTTGAATAAAAAGAGGAGGAATCGCTGCATGTAACCCCTGATTTCTTAGCAGTCTCTGAAAACCCAATTTCCAGACCATCGCCATGGCTGTGATCATAGTTCCCGAAGCAGAGCATTTTGGGTGGCTTAATCTGGGTGGAATAAGCAGATGAATGGGTGTAGTTAAAGGTTTCGTCGTCCACGCCAAGACCACAAACCTCATCAGCAGCGAAGAGTAACTGAGAGAAACTAGTCCCCTCTGTGACAGCCAAATGGTCCCCCTCTAAACCATCATTTTCCGCCATATCAACCCCACAAACAAAACCCAAAAGTTTGAAGCTTTTGGGTCTCAGAGAGAGAGAAAGAGAGAGAAAGTAAAAGGTTTGATTAGAACGAAGGGGCTTTTAGGAGAAAACAACGGAAGCTTCTTGTTGATAAGAGAGAGAGGGAGAGAAGAAAGAGAGTGCTCTGTTTTTGTTCTGTTTCTCTATGTGAGAGTGTGAAGGTGTTTAGAGGCGTTACAGTAGAAGAGAGAGAGAGAGGATGGGTGGGGTGGGCTGAGAAGAAAGGAGGGTGTGGCTGGGCTTTCCAAGGCTTGGCTTTGGTTTTCGGCGACTTTGGTCAAACCCACCTGGCCCGAGAAAACCGTGGTTTCGAGCTCCAACGCGTTGTTGCCTAACCCCAAACTCAAAAACGCTCTCCTCTTTCGTCACCTTTCGTCCTCTCTATAAACATAATGTAACGGATGTGATTTTAGATTCATTAATGTTCCATTCAATTAACTTGTTTATGTTCTCACATAGGTACTTAATGATGATGCCAGGGTCAATTGTGTGTGGAGTATGACTGATTCTTGTTGATTGATGCATGTGGATCCTAATGTAGATATGGGTGTGTGAATGATTAATGTGTTGTTGATGTATTTTGACTCTATTGTGAATCTGACATGATTCTACAATTAGAATTCACTCTCGTTCTACGTAACTAACCGTAAGAGTCATCTGCATTTAAACAAGTATGTCAACGGTTTAATAAAGTAACATGAAAGTATCCTATACTTTAGCGCACTTTTCACTTTTCAACTCTAATATACTAATTTAGCATCATGTTAGTAAACTTATATAATCTCCTTTTCAAATAGCACCATTAATGGAATAACTTTTAACATCATCTCATTCGGCTCTTAAATTTGGTGTCGAATATAGAATTAAAATCTCATATAGCATATTTCCATTGGAGATTATCTACCCTATTGACAATGTAAGATGTTAAATTGGTCGGTGATAGAAATGCAATGATCCTTCTCTCATATCAATCAACAACATGTTAGAAATGCACCCTTCTTTTGTCCATCCACGCATCCCAATACCAGAAAAATCCAACAAATTATTAGAAGAAAACGAACGAACCCTTAAAAGTCCTTCTGTAAAATCAGAATCGAATTTTCCTATTTTTGTAGAACTAATTTCTGTTTTAACTTTTACGTTCATCTTGCAATTCTCGTGAGAGCCGAACGTCTTGTCATTTGGTACGACTGGAAGTATAGAAGTCACCAACTTTGACTGTGGGGTCCCAAAACCAGACCATATGATTATATTTTCTTCAGACGAACATATGGAATGAGGGGTGTACAAGATTTTGGATGCCCACAGCCACAACCCACATCATCATATTCTAAGTGATGATTGTAAATTTTTTTATCTTTCATAAAACTATTAAGGGTCGTTTGGTACGCGGGAAAAATATATATATATATATATAGAGAACTCTAAAACTATTTAAAACCTACTAATGATATTAAACGCCAAAATTGTCCTTATGTCGTGGCAAATCAATGACTTTGTTTCGTCTCGTCATTCCTTTCCCTATCATGCCCCAAACATACACTATTTGCCCCCAAAATTACTCTGTTCACGCCGAACCTCTTGGCTACTGGCAGATCCTCCTACGTCAACTATGTACACAAAGTTCTTGTGAAAAGACGATTTTGTTTCGACAACTTTAAACGTTCATTTATCTATTTTCTATATACAAACCAACAAAGAAGTGGAAAACGAGGTTTGATATCATATTAGACAACTACTCTAACAATGTATATCAATTTTATAGAGCTTGAGCTCGTTCTTGTAGGACAAGAAATCATTTGCAGATAATGTTCATGCAGTGACCGGAAATCTCTCCAGTGCCAACTTCAGATTGAGGAAATAACTGCAAGAGAGATTTATATTTTCACAAGCTTCATAAGGCATGTCAGCTTGCAAATCTTGGTAACTACATGAAAAATGAGGTGGCTCGGTTTCCTGTGATGTGTATGACACCTTTGCTTGCTGACAAGCCTAGCATAAGTTTTTAGCACATCCCATTGTCAAGAATGTCCTTCATCAAACAAAAGTAATAAAAATTTCGAAGTCCAGATTACATTAAAAAAATTAAATCAACGAAGCGGGGATCCGACCAAATTATTTATTTTTAAAAATATTATCCTTCTGTTACAAAACTCAAGCAGTTTACAATCTCTTTCACAGACAAAATTAAAACATCATTGAGTACAAATCCTTGTCTCTGTCAAAATAATCAACAAAACAACACTCACGTTTGCAAAAGAAGCAAGTTGCTAAGAACCCTTTGGGGCATTTTGACGAACACTTGGCAGACGCACTAAGCGGAGCAGATCTTCTTCAACTTGTCCGCCGCAGATTCATCCACAGAGTACTGCAATCACAAGAAAACCCAAATGGGTTTCAATCAGAAACACAAATAAACATACCCAATTGTCCAAATCCATAGAAAAGTGCGTGTAATGAGAAAGAGAATGAGAAAGTTGACCTTGTTGAGGACCCAGAGCGAATGCTTGTATGCCCTGTGGAAGAGCTCGTGGAGGGCTTGGTCATCGCCGGCCTCGACCTCTCTGTAATTCACGAAGTTTTCGCGCGCGTACTTGGCGTAGTAAGGCCTCGTGTCCTCCGGCAACCGCCTCACCAATCTCAGAACCTCTGCGTAGATTCTCAAAGCTTTCTCCATTTCTCAGTTCCAAAATATCCGGTGATCACCGCCTAAAACTTAAGACCCTCCACGATGCTTTGGTTGTTTCAACAAACGGGCCTCTGTTTCTTGCCGAAAATTACATTGGGCCAGATATGGGGCCGGTTTGCTTTTTTTATGGGGCCCTATATGCACCCAAATATCTGCTCATTACTATTAAAAAATATATATAAAAAAATTTTTGGGGTGTACAAGAAAGGGCATTACTTCCTTCATTTCTTGGAAGGATGCATTTCTACTTTTTCTAAATCACAGCTTGATATATATTTAAAAATATTTCATCAAAAATACAATTAAAAAAATTAATCTCTAAACACATGTCAAACTGTGATTGACAAGAAAGTAAGAGTTCCTACTTCTAATAAAGACAAGAAAAAAAATAAAAAAAAACTTGTATGAAATGGGAATAGCACTATTTTGCTATCCCCAACCAATCATAATATGCCACGTAGAAAAGTTATCACACATAAAATACCGTAATTTAAAAAATAACTAATAGTACTATCCCAATTTCATGTAATTTTTCCTCCAAAAACAGAGAAACTAATAACGGAAGAAGAGCCCGAAGCATTAACTTCCCTCTCTGAGCATGTTAAATCTTTCAACTTCGGTGCCCTATTAAATAACGCTTTGACGGGCATGAATCAGATTCAAAAGAGGATGCCATTGCTCAAGAGGTTGGGAAAATTCCAACGCAACTATGACCGCAAATGAGCGGTGGGAGATCCCATCTGTAGAAAAAAACTTAATGGTTGCTTTCCTGCCACGTGAGCATGGTAGGTTGATTGACATGCACCAACCAGTTAAAAACTTGTGAAGTGTTATAAGGTTGTATCTATTATTAAGATATTGTAATATAAGTATACGTTTTAACTAGATGATGTTTGAGAACTATACACGTAAGTTTTTCTTCCGTCATGTGGTATACTTTGTTTTTACTTTGTAATGTGAGTAAATATTTCTTGATATCCTACCCTAAACTATAAACTCATCATCCATTCGTATTATATTTAGCCACTTGATTAGTCTTTGTTTTCGTTTTAGTTTTCTTTTTGCACTTTTACATAACCAATATATGAATGCATTTTGACATGAATTAAGATCTGATATACATACACGTTTGATTTTGATCATTGAAATGCACTGATAAAGTAGCCCGATAAAAAATTCGTGCACTTTATTAAAATAAGAACACTTTAAAAACAAAATAAAAACTCTATCTTCCGATTGTGAGTGCAGTCATATTTAGTGAGAAAATACTTCTCTTCTTATCAGGTAAGTAATAGTTCTTATATTTTTGCTATTAGTAGTATGAAATGTATGTGTATAAGTTTTTGTTTTTGTACTTTTGATAAATTATTTTTACATATATGTCAAACTGTTATTCGTAAAAACGAAGAGTATCTTATTACCGTTAAGGAGGGAAGTAGTTTGTTGTTTGGTAAAGGGACAAAGTCCCAAAACAAAACAAGAGCAACAACAAACAACGGTCGAATAGACATAACTGGTTCAAATGCACCCAAATATAAAATCAATCAATTTCTCAACATTTAACCTTTGGTTTATTTTTGTCTTTTTAGTGATTCACAATGGGACATCAAATTTGTCTTTCCCATTACACGTGTATGCCGCCACACCCCAAAAATTACACTAAAATTCCACGTCCCCACGTCCTCAGTTTGCTACACATATTGCTTTGCATGCAAACAATTTCCACCCGAACTTTCAAACAAAGAATAATAGAAGCAAAGAAAACGAAGTTCATCTAAATTATTTAATGCATCCAACCAATATCCAAAACCCTCATAATCAAACGCATATAAACCACTCGAATTAACGTGAAGCCCAGAACCCTCCTCCCTCATACTTGGTTGGTGTTTGCTTCCATGGTGGCAACTCCAGCATCATTCATTCTCTCTTTAAAACCCAACCCACAACCACATCCACCTCTCCACACTCTCTCCCACCCCAACAGCAGATACTCCCGAAATCCTGTATTCAAATCCTCCTTTCTCACTATTTCTTGTGTCAAAAGAGAAAAAAAAACACACACACACAAGCAGCAATGCTTGACATTTGGTCATGGATATCCGACCTCCCCAATTCGGCCGAGTGGGCCGAGTCAGACTCACCACATACTTTTGAACTCGCTAGCTCCGGAGCGAGTTACGACAGCAACCCAACTCGGTCGATCCAACTCCATGCAGAGCGCACCACAGGCTCCAACATCGACACTCTAGTGACTTTCTCAGTATGCTTGCACGGCTTCAACAACCAGTACCATCCTAAAAAGACGATTTGGGTTTCTGACACGTGTTCACTCTCCTCAGACAAACCCTACCTCCCCCTGTTGCTCCAGCTCCTCCGAGAAATCATATCCCGCTCCCCCACCGCTCACGACAGCACCTGCCCTCGCTCCCAGCTCCAGACTCTCAAACCCGACCCATTTTCCTGGATCATGGACTCCCACTCCCCCGAGTCCTTCTCCACCTTCTTCGACCTCGTCTTCGTCACGCGCCTCTTCTGGCTCTGCGCGTGCGACTCGCCGACCGAAGTCGGCTCTCTGTACTTCAAATCCTTGCTGGCTCCCAACCTCGAAGCCTTACTGTGCAAGCAAGCGCCGGCTCTCCGGACGTTTCTGATCACCGTCGGCTTGGACGCAGAGCTCTGCTTCATGCGCACCGTTGGGTACATGTTAGCAAAGTGGTGCATTTTAAGAGAGGTGGGTGTAGGCTTGCAGACGCTGACGTCATCGCCGTCGCAGAACTTGGGGTTCTCTTACGCGACGGAAGCTTGCGGGTTTTGGGTGCTCAAGGCTTACGCGCCGGTGATGGGGATGAGAACCACACGCTCCGTCAACTTGAACCAGAAAAATCAGTTTCCGGCTTTGGAAACTAGAGACTCGGTGCTAAAATACGCCTTGGCGCACCAGCAGCTGGAGGCGGTTGTTCAGGTGGAATATTCGGTGGGGTTTTACGACGGGTTTATTCAGGTGACTGCACGTGTCGACAACCTGCGCTTCCACGTGGTGAACCTCGGATTCAACAAAAACGATGACGTGGACTACGCGGAGGAGAAGTATTTCCCGTCGAGAGTCCGGGTCTGGGTCGGGCCAGAAGTCGGGGCGAATTACGTGAATGGGTTGAGTTTGGGCCGGTCCACTGATAACGGAGAGAGAGAAGTCAAAACGCAGAGGATTACGAAGGGCAGTTTCGCAAAATCAAAGGTTCCGAAAGTGCAAAGCGCGGCGAGGGTGTCGACGAGGATGAGGAAGAGGAACTGGAGGTGGGACCAGGACGCTGAGGGAAACGCGGCCGTATTCGATGCGGTGCTGTGCGACAACATGACGGGTCATGAGGTGGCCACGTGGAACCCGGCTATTGGGGAGCAGAGCGACGGTTTGCGACAGCGATACACTGGAGCAAATAGGCCGTTTACTAAAAAGGGGAGTTTGGTGTTGAGTGGGGATGAGTATGGGGATGGGGTTGGGTGGAGACTGAACAGAGAGATGGAAGGGAGTGTGCTCAAGTGGAGAATAGGAGGGAAAGTTTGGTTGAGCTATTGGCCCAATGAGGTGAACAGTTCATATTTTGAGACAAGGTGTGTGGAGTGGTGTGATGAGGTTGATTTGCCTTTGATTATTGGTAAATTGAGTGTATGATCAAAGATTGGGGTTAGAATAAGTAGATATAATTATGTGTACATATGAAGTTTTTATGTTAGATTTCTGTAGTAGTTTTTTTTTCTCCTTTATTTTGATTTGGGGTTGTTGTATCAAACCTAGCTAGGCTCTTGTAGGTTTTACCCAATCTAGATTTTCATGTTGCGGTGCTTCTCACCATGTATAAAAGTGTAATTTTCTTTTCAACTTATAATATATAGCAAAGCATTGTGTACTTTATTACTCAACAAACACAATACAATTCAACATTATTGCTGATACTAATTAACCACTTAATATAGTCATACAATGACAGCTGTCTATTAGATTGCAAATGACTAAAGAGCCCTTAGGATCCTATCAAAGAGAGATACACACTTGAGAATGTATGTTTTCTTTATATAATCAATATTGATAATTGATGAAGGAATTTCGAACACAAGACCTATTTCCAAGCCAAAAGCAAGCAAGCAATCTTCCCACTTAAGGCTCAACCTCTTGCACTGCAGGCTTGGATAAATATTATACAACAAAATGAGCACCTTGCTCATAATTCTGTTTTGGGTTTGCTCCTGGCTCTGGGTGATCTGGCCCTGCATCACTTTTGGCTACACTCAATGGGTTTGGCCAGCTGATTACAGGGCATGTTCCCCACCAACAACCACTGCCACAGCAACCATCTCTTCAAGCTTCTCTGCAGCATCCAAGGAGACGCCACTACCCATTTGAAGGTCTTCTTTTTCTTTAACTCCTTTTTTTCCTTTTTCTTTTTCAATTTCCCAATTCTTTTTAAGAGAATGTGTGGGATAAAGTAAAATTAGCAAATAAAGAGAGTACAGGTGTCACTAAAGTAGACGAGAATAACGAGAATTGGAAAAGATAGGTAGTAGTATAATTTCTTTTCAGCCCAAAACCCTTAAAAGTTCCAATCTTTCTGCAAGTTTACCCATTAAATTTAAGGTCCCCATTGTGATTTGTGTGAGCTTGATGAGGTTGAGCCCCAAGGCCTTGTAGTTGTTAGCTAATGGGTTTTTTCCCCAGAAGCTGATGGTTGATACGCATCTCACATCAGGCCCGTCGGGTCCGTGATCTTTTGATTTGTGTGTTTTCTTGGATGAGGTTTTATTTCTCAGTATCTGAAAAATTCCATCTTTAACAAATTATGATTGCTATTGGCCTTTTTCGTATGTTTGTATAGTTGCATTGTCTGCGTCAGATTGGTTTCAAGTTTTCAACTTTCAAAGATTATGCTGCAATTTTCGCCCTTTTTTATACTGTCTATGGAGTCTAATTGCTATGTTTATCTTTTTTGTTACTCGTAAGTTATAACTTTAGTCACCTGATAAAACACTGTAAAAACCCAATATTTGATCACACAAGTACAATAAAATCCCATGAGTTTAAGATGGTTCTTAACTTTTTATGCTTATCCAATACTGAAAATACAATGCTGAACATAATTATGATGGGTAAATAAGGCTTAAACTGGTTCTTAATAAGGCTTAACTTACTCATTAGTTCGCTATTGCTAAATTTCGGTTGTGGATCAGACCCGTACATGTACCAAATTTGGGTGCAATGCTGGCTGTGGATCAGTCACTATAGCAGCCAGGCTCTAAGTTTGTTCATTCAAACACATGGAGTGTGAGTGACAAAATAAAGTGATCAAATCTGGCAATTCTGTGATTTCAAATTGTTGTCTGAAAAGCAGCTCCCTTTGAGCATTTTAGAGTTGCTTATATTGCTTGTTGTAAAATTTTCTCATTTGTTGAGGAAATCCCTGCAGTTGAGGTAAAGCTACTGAAATTTGTTCAACTTTCTCATCTGGTGCCCTTGCCTCTGCTTCTTTTTCTGAAAACAATTTTCTGTGGTTCTAGGCTGGGTTTTGTAGTGGAATGAATATGACAGTATGACATAATGCTGCACAAGAGCTTAGAACATACCGTTGCACATAGAGCTTAGAATGAATTTGCTTTAGTAGTACCCATCCTACACTTCAGCTAAGGAATTTTCTGATTATCTAGAAGATAGAATTCTTTCTAATAGAGGCATCTGATTTCCTTCTTCTCGGTGACACTGTCCAGACTGAGATGCTAGTTGGGTTATGCTAGCTTGTGATCTGGACACTTCAGAATGTGCACTGACCATATCTATGTTCATTTTTGTTACATGAACTTGTAGCTTCTCTAGAAAACATCCAAATCAGGGCTATTATTTTGTTGAACTGCTACTCTGCTACTGCTTGCAATTTTTTTTTCCAAACATAACACAAATAGATAGCTGACAAGAAATTCCAAGGGTATAAGCGTAAACATATGGCTTTTTGCTTCAGGCCTTCAAGTATTCTTAATTTTTCTTCATATAGGTGTTCACCATATAGTTCTAGTTGTTTGTTTGCCAGTTGAATGTACTGGACAACCAGGGATGTCTATTGTTATTTATTTAATGGTAGATATCATTCACAACATGAGACTTGTGGTTTCAAATAACATCATGAGGATGCTCTTGCGTTGGCATTTAGAAAGAATCCATCAATGTTGTGTATGCCCCATGCAAATGGTGACTGATTCTCAACATGACTGCCTATGAGAACCCAACCTCTATCCTCTTAGATGGAGCGTCTTATGAGAAATTTTCCTTTACTTAACATTTTCTCACAAAGAATGTTTGAATTCAACAGGAATGACATTTTACAGGAGTCATACCCCTGAAGATTCTGAGCTGAAATGCCTATGTGGGCTTCCTGCAAAACTGAGATTATCTCAAACCCCAAAAAACCCGTTTAGGTTATTCTATAATTGTCCAAAGGGTATATCTGCAGTAAGTATGCTTTTCTCTGAATATAGAATCAAAACTACATTGTTCAGATAACCTTTTTGGCCTAACTAATTTTGTTCTTAATACTGCTAGCAATGTGAATTCTTTCGTTGGTCGGATGAGCCAGCTCCAACGGGCGATAGGGAGACCGATGAGCAAAATCTTATCCGTCATGAGTGCATTCGACTACAAGAAAGCTTAAATGAAATCCAACAGGAACTGGATTGTGAGAGGACTGAATGGGGTAGGGAAAAATCAGAGCTAACTTCACAACTATCAACTCTGCAATCTGAGCTTGATGCTCTCAAGAAAAGAATCAAGATGGCAAATGAATCAGATCTTATGCCCCCTCTTGACAAGCTATCCATAGCAGATGATAAGGATGATGATGCCTTAGTACTACATACTGTATGCTGAGCATGGACAGAATTGGTTTGCATGGCATATTTTTTGCTTAAATGCCCAAGTAGTCTCATATTGTAAAGTTATGTGAGCAAATCAGTTATGGCCTTGAACATTTATAAACTATCTTAGTGGTAAATCTTATGTGTTATTGACTATTAAAATATTGAATTCTGTTTAGATGAAGTTATGGATTTCAATGGAAGAGAGAGAAGAAAAGAAGCTTCTTCCTTTTCCGAGCAGTTCATTTCTCGATTAGCTGCACGAAAAAAAAATGGAAAATTATTTTATTTGACAATATTCCTCAATATTCTAAGATATTACATTGATATTTTGTTTTCTGGTCACGCACGAACAATGTCTCTAATACTCTAATCACTAATCATATTTTTTATTTTTTATTTTGGAGCCAACCTGACACATGCATTTAACATATTCACCGCCAAACATCGGGAAGAAGGGTAAAAAAGAAACACAAATCTTTCTGGGTTCGCTCGTTCATTATTATCGTCACCTCTGTAACAGACCGCGTGCAACTACAGTTTTTTAGACCTACTTGACCTGTTTCTATTATTTTTATTTATTTATAATAAAAATAAAAATAAAATCAATGAATTTGTAGTTCAAATGGTTAAATGTACTATCCTGCATCCAAAATACTAAATTCAATTTCCTTCTTTAACAAGATCACATTATTTAAATATTGAAAAAATATCAAAGATGAGTACAAAGGGGAAAATACGTGCTTTAATCAACTGATTTAATCCACATATGTATAAAACTAACTCAAGTTACGAGAAGAATTAGTTGTTGTGTTTGTTTGGTTTTAAGTCTTCTATGGCCTATTTTTTTCAAGTTTAAACACGAACATTAGCAATTGTAGTAGATTCAATACATTCCATTAGCATAATGTTACTAACATGCACATTTTAATTGATGGCAACACATAAACATGTGCTCTACACATGTCATTATCAGTAATATTCCCACATAGACTCATGGTAAAAGAAGAGAAAAAAGGAAGAAAGCTTTTCAGAGGAAGTTAAAAACAAACAAACAAACAAACAATGCCATGCCGCGGGACCTTTTGTTTTGGTTTACTTAACCAAAAAATTCTCATGCCGTGTGAATTCAAAGCTATCCACCAACCCAACCCCACCACTGTTTCTTCTGCACTTTCTTCTGTCACTCTTTCATTTCACCCACGGATAATAAATCCATAGCTCTAGGCCTAAACAAAGTCCTAAGCCTTTTCTTCTCCTCCTTCTTCTTCTTCTTTCTTGTTGGACTTTTTTCTTTTGTGTGTGTAATGGAGGATGCCGAGTGGGTTCTGGTGAGGAAGCCTGCTGAGAAGGACCTGTGGGCCCCAAGTTTAGTGGAGGAGGAGAGTTCTAAGCCTTTGAAGGTTACGTTTTCTGGGCCTGCCAAGCATTGGACTGATGCTATTCCAATCGGGAATGGGAGGCTTGGAGCCATGGTGTGGGGTGGTGTGGCATCAGAAAAACTCCAACTCAATGGTGAAGTACAAATCTTTTCTTGCATTGTGTTAATGATAAGTTCTATGCTGTTGGGTTTTCTGTGTTTTGGGTTCTGTTTGCTTCAAGATTTGAAATGCTTGGTTGTGTGAGTTTCTGGTTTTCAAAGGTTTAGTCTTTTTTTTCTCTTGCTATTTTATTTTCTTATATTATTTGGCGGGTTACCAAGATCACAAGGGAAACAGAACAAAGTCATATTCAAGTTCAATTGCATTTTCTGACTGATCCTGAATTGGGACTTGAAAACTTGGAATGCTTGAAGGGATTAAAACTTGGAATGCAATTTCTAAGTGTCTCTCAAACACACACACTGTAAAATTATAGTAAAACTCATTGCATAAAGTTTAAATTGTTGTAGAGGACACACTCTGGACAGGAACTCCTGGGAACTATACCAACCCAAAGGCTCCAGAGGCACTCACAGAGGTTAGAAAACTTGTTGACAGTGGTAAATATGTTGAAGCTACTGAAGCAGCAGTCAAGTTGTCAGGAGATCCTTCTGATGTATGTAACTTCATCAGCTTTACTAAATCTTTTTCATTTTGTTACTCAATAAAAATGAATCGTAGTGAATATGACTAGATGTTAAGCGCATAGTAATGTTATAAAATGAGGTCTGCAATTCAGTGCATGTACTAATTTTTGCTGATTATGGTTGATAGTGGGATCTTAATTTCATCAGAGACATAGATTACAAAATATTCTATCTTGTAGACTTCCGTTTTGAAATTTCGTTATCATTTTGTACATTAAATGTAAGTTTAATTTCATAATTCAGAGCTTATGCTTAATCGCTGTATTAATGCAAGCTTATTGTTACCAATGGTACTAGAAATTGCATGTGGAGGCTTCTGATATCTGGGATAAATTTCCTAATAATTACTTCTTTTGATGAAGGTTTACCAACTATTGGGCGACATCAACCTAGAATTTGATGACTCTCACCTCAAATATGCTGAAGAAAGTTACAGCAGAGAGCTAGACCTGGATACTGCAACAGCAAGGATCAAATACTCAGTGGGTGATGTAGAATATACAAGGGAGCATTTTTCATCTAATCCTGATCAAGTGATTGTGACGAAGATCTCTGGAAGCAAATCAGGGTCCCTAACATTTACAGTTTCTCTAGACAGCAAGTTACATCATAATTCACATGCAAATGGTAAAAACCAAATTATAATAGAAGGAAGTTGTCCTGGAAAAAGGATCTCACCAAAATTCTTGAGTTTGAATGACAATCCGAAAGGGATTCAGTTTTCCGCGGTCCTTGATTTGCAGATTAGTGGTGGCAGTGGTGTGATACATGTTCTGGATGACAAGAAATTAAGGGTTGAAGGGTGTGATTGGGCTGTTTTGCTTCTGGTGGCCTCATCTTCATTTGAAGGACCATTTTCTAAGGCTTCTGCTTCTAAGAGGAACCCAACTTCAGAGTCTCTCAATGCATTGAACTCTATAAGAAAATTTTCATATTCCGATCTTTATGCTCACCATTTGGATGACTATCAGAATCTTTTTCATCGTGTCTCATTGCAGCTTTCTAAGAGCTCTAAGAAAATTTTAGGAGATAAAACTTTGGAGCCAAAGAAACTTACCCCTATAAGCAGTTCAAATTTAAAGGGAAGTGATGATGCCTCAGTTTCAACTGCTGACAGGGTGAAATCCTTCAAAACTGATGAAGATCCTTCCTTTGTGGAACTTTTATTCCAATATGGTCGATATCTGCTTATTTCTTGTTCACGGGTTGGAACTCAAGTGGCAAACCTGCAGGGTATATGGAACAAGGATATTGAGCCTCCATGGGAGTATGTCTCTCTCTCTCTCTAAGTAATTTGCTGCCCTTTTATTCCACATAGATTTCACAATAAAATGAGGTGGTTACTTACTTCAACTTTGTACTTGCAGTGGTGCTCAGCATTTGAATATAAATCTTCAAATGAACTATTGGCCTTCCCTTCCTTGTAACCTAAGAGAATGTCAGGAGCCCTTATTTGATTACACATCTTCTTTATCTATCAATGGGAGTAAAACTGCAAAGGTGAGAATTCTGCCTTTCTAGTTTATATTAAAAGCCTTCCATAACCTTTTGACTCTACCGCATGCTGAGTTGAATTTGAGAAGATTCAAATAATTGTTTGGAATCTACCTGCTGCAATTTCTTGATTCTCTGTGCATTACTTTTCTTAGTAATATACCTAGCACAATTCAGGTGAACTACGAAGCCAGCGGTTGGGTTGTGCATCAAGTGTCTGACATATGGGCCAAAACATCTCCAGATCGAGGTCAAGCTGTGTGGGCGTTATGGCCAATGGGAGGAGCCTGGCTTTGTACTCATCTATGGGAACATTATACTTATACAATGGACAAAGTAAGCTCCTGATATCTTAAAGATGAAGCCTGCAAAAACAAATGATGTTTTACTTAAATTAAAGTAATCAACCCAAGATTTTTTTTTCTGATGTTATGTTATGTGGGGACCAGGGATTCAGGCTCCTGAAAGCACTTAGGTACAAGTGAATGTTAGTTATATGGTTGTATTTTGTAGGGAACTTACTGTTTATATATGTTGCTTATCTTATCTGACTCAGGTTTTCCAGTAGGTAAATTATTGCTAATTTTTTTCTACGCCATTAGGATTTTCTGAAAAATAAGGCATATCCTTTGTTGGAAGGATGTACATTATTTCTGCTGGATTGGTTGATTGAAGGCCGTGGAGGGTATCTCGAAACCAACCCATCAACTTCTCCAGAGCACATGTTTATTGCTCCTGATGGTAAGCAGGCCAGTGTGAGCTACTCATCAACCATGGACATATCAATCATAAAAGAAGTTTTTTCTGCAACACTTTCTGCTGCTGAGGTTGTTCTCTAATTTTATGCTAGTAAGTATTCCTACTTAGCTACATAAACTGTGGTTTGTATTACAGTAATTCCTGAAAAACAGGTTTTAGGAACTCAGGATGCTGTTGTTCAGAAAGTTCGTGAGGCTCAACCTAGGCTTTTACCCACAAAAATTGCTAGAGATGGTTCCATTATGGAATGGGTAAGCCAGAGGTCTTATATTCGATTTCTTGGGAATCTGTTCCCAGGTCTTATATAATGTGTGATGAAGTTTTTGTATAGAATCGTCAATTAATTGTAAACTAACAAGTATCTTTTTTATATTGCAGGCACAAGATTTTGAGGACCCAGAAGTGCACCATCGGCATGTATCACACTTGTTTGGCCTGTTTCCGGGACACACAATTACCATTGAGAAAACTCCAGATCTCTGTAAAGCTGTGGAAAATTCCCTCTATAAAAGAGGTTGGTACATTATAAGTTGATAACTAAAAATATAATTTTTGTGTCACCATGGTGTAGGGCATTTGGATGCAAAATTGAATGATATGAAAAGTAACTTGAAGTTGATGTACCATGAGGAAACCAAATTCTCACATTAGAATTTAGAAGGAATAAAAAGGTAATAGGGAGTTTTCACCATTTACTTTTACAATAATATAGACATTGTTTGAAGAAAGGTGATTATGTAAAACTGAAATTAGGACTTTGACCTTCAGCATACTCCCTGAGGTTTGGTTTAAATGATTCACCGCAACACAATTAGAAACCAAGGGCCAAGACTATTTAAGTATTTATATGCTTCGTCGATTGTAAATATTAAAGGGAAGTATGATAACATATACAGCTATAGAAGTTTCGGTGCTGAGTCAATAATAGACTAACTAATGTCTCCTTCCTTCAAGATCGCCCTACCCAAGAGAAGTATGAGAACAAACCAGCACAGAAGTCTTTGTGTTGGCCTGTTGTGACAGTCTAATTTTAGTGCTGCTATAAACTAATGTCGTCGACCTACAAGATCACCCTACCCAAGAGTTCATCTGATGGTGACTAGCCATTCTACATAAGATTATTGTTTACTGTAGAAAACCCTACCTGGCTCTAGCTAATATAGAATACTAATGAACCCTACATGGTTTTCTGAACATATTGGAATGATCTTCTTGAACACTAAGTAGTATTGCCCCTTAAATTTTTGTTCTTCAAAACAGGAGAGGAGGGTCCAGGATGGTCAACTATGTGGAAGACTGCTTTGTGGGCACGTCTTCACAACAGTGAGCACGCGTATCGTATGGTCAAGCATTTGATTGACTTGGTGGATCCAGATCATGAAGCTGATTTTGAAGGAGGACTATACAGTAACTTGTTCACTGCCCATCCCCCTTTCCAGATTGATGCCAACTTTGGGTAAGCCACATGTGTTATTGATGACCAATTCTTTTCCTGACTTGCATTATTCCATTCCAAGTACATTTTTATTTTCTTTTCCAAAGGTTTGTTAATTATGGTGGTTTATTTAACAATTAGAAAGGGAAAAGAACGCTGAAGGGGGTTGGATGGGTTAAGATGCACCTAAATTTCATTGTTGTGTCAAGTTCGTCCATTGCAGAATGAATTTTCTTGAAATGTTATTGCCTCTTATATGTCCCAATGCAGACTTTCAATATGTCCCATAGACCAAACACTTTTGTAACAAAGATTGTTAGCTAGACAATGCTAGTAATCTCTCTTTTGGTGCCAGTTTTTCAGCCGCAGTTGCAGAAATGCTTGTCCAAAGCACCATCAAGGACCTGTATTTACTTCCCGCTCTTCCCCGGGATAAATGGGCAAACGGTTGTGTGAAAGGACTGAAGGCTCGTGGCGGGGTGACAGTCAACATATGTTGGAAGGAAGGAGACCTTCACGAAGTCGGTCTTTGGTCCAAGGACCACAGTTCTATTAAAAGATTACATTATAGAGGAAGTACAGTTACAACAAACATATCATCTGGCAGGATATATACTTTCAACAGACAGTTAAAACGTGTGAGGACAACAAGTCTCTGAGAGCAGCAGCATACACAGTGTTAAGGTCAAATTCATCATATTGATTTATATTCCCAATAAACGTGGAAACGAAGTCCCTTCTTTTTTTCTTCTTAAGTATCAGTGTCTTGTTATTGATTGTGGTTTTATTTTTCGGAAGTCAGTTTAGTGTAGCAAATGAGAGAATAATTCAAGGCACCTTACTTGTATAACCATTAGTAACACTTTGAAGAAATTTGTAAGATTTGTTTGTGAACTGTCATTGAATTCCAGCTCTTTCTAGCTCAATGGCAATGCTTCTGGGAAATTAAAAGGAATTGTATTTTTTAGTGGCTTTATTTATTATGTTCTTTTGTTCATGCATTCAATAATGATGGGACAAAGCTCACAGCCTACAGAAAAGAAAGGAATACCAACAAATTCTACAATTATAGCTAAAGATAAATTATTTGTTCAGAAAATATGCCATTATAAAATCAGTATAGCCAAATTGTTCTAATTTTTTAAAATGCAGATATTTGGGAGGCATTTCTAGCCAAAAACTCAGGTCGACATTTGAGAATGCATAGATAACTGCTTTTAACTATTTGAACTTTAAAGCTCCTTACAACTGGATAACATTACTTAACATGCACAAATTTGACCAAAAAAAAACAGAAACTTACATGCACAAAGAAAACAAAACTACTGATATATATATATATATATATATTTGGTAAGCCTCAATATTTGATCCGAATTGACACATCCCTACCAGAAAACATTAGTTTTAAGGGTAAAAAAGAAGAAACAGAAACGTATTAATAAAGCGGTACATAACGAATGGCTAAGAATCCGACGATCAAGATGATTGATGCACATCAGCTGTCGTGCACCTGCGCAGCACCATTCCCCACAAAGCAAAACCCTCACAAAGCCCTCGCCAGTGAAGCCACACACTCTTCGGCAACAATAACTCAGAAAATGGCTTGGCGCTCAGCTGGTTCGTTGTCTCGGTCTTTGGTGTCTACCGCTAGGGTTTCGTCGCTCCGTTCGGCGCTACCTCTCCGTCGTCTCCGTCCGCCGACTGTCTCCACTCCTCGTCGCCTCTCATTCGCTTCTCCCAGGTCCCCTTTCAGTCTCTCCTTTGAAAGCAAGAGATTATTTTTCACCTATATGTTATTTGCTGATTGTTTGCTGAGAAAATGGAGGGAATTGAATCAATGCGTTGTTATCTGATGATATCTGTTGATTTGGTGATTTATTTTTCACAAATATACTGGAAAATTTGTGTAATTGATTTGGTTTTGTTGGTGATTTTGGGGTTTCATGGTCTAGAATAGAGTTTAGTTCACCATTAGAAAAAGAAAAGAAATTTAAAGGCAAACTCTTGTCTTTCTGTTCATTTCCACTGTTTGGAGTAAGTGAGAAGAGAAAATGATTTAAGTAGCCAATCATTTTCCGGGAGGACATCTCTTATTCTTTGCCCTTTGCAACAATCAACTGGATCATGAAATTTCTATGGTTGTTTAGTGTACCCTTTTCTTTTTATTTAATATCTGGTTGCTTTACATTATGAAAGAGTTCTTTTTATGACATTTGCCTTCTGGAATCTGAAAATAGTGGTTACTTATTTATGGTATGAGTATAACAAATAGTCTTCTCATTTTTACTGGCGCTGTTTTGTTTCTTTTAGGAACTTGGGAGAACTGGGCTGCATACAATCGCTTTTGCCAATGCACAGTGTGACGGCTGCAACTTGCCTCACATCTCACCTGGCTGTCAATGCGCGTGGTTGTTGCGAGTTGTCACACGGTACCTTCTGCCGTACTTGTCAGGATCGCTAGTAGTCTCTTTGTGAGTCTTGCTGATTCTAGGACACATGACAAAATTGAAAGAAATGTTTTTTGCCGTTTTGTTTTCAATCCTTCCGCTGATGGCCCGGGAGAGCATTAAAGTAGAATAAGTAGTGTTGGCTCATTTAAATCTAGACAGAGTGTTTGATTGATAGAATGATTTTTAAACTAGGTAGGATTTGTAAGTATATTAAGATTGGTTATTAAGAACAAAATTGGGATTGGGATTGATAGGGGAGGAACGGAAAAGATGGGTGATGTGCACAGACTTCCAAGCATCCAAAGGCAGGAGAATGATGCATCGTTGTAGGTCCTCTTTCATTCCTTGTTTGGACATTACAGATATTAAGCTTTTCAATTTTGAATTTGAGTAAACAGAGTGGCGTTTGGTCAAATAATGTCCTTAGATAACAAATTTAAATACTTTTTCTCTCATGTTTCAGGTATTATAAAATTGAGTGATTGCATCGAGTACTTGTTCTTTTTAGTCAATAATTGCTTGGATTTTTTTCCCATGTTAAATAAGAAACACCTATGGACTCTTTGCTTTTGTTAGTTTTTCTCTACATAATTTGTTTGCTAGACTGAAGGTGGGGAGTGGGAATGAATGACTCATTAGTTGGACCTGTGTATTTGTTTTTTCTGCTATGATACATTCTTATGGTATATCATTGTTTCTGACAAAAACTGCTGCAATTTGGGTAGGCGTGCAAGTATTCAATAACTAATTATAATTTCTTCTGTCATAGTCATAAATTCAATAATAGAACAAAAATGTTCTTTGTTGATTAAAAGGAAATGGAAAGCTTTTATATAAAAGCTGCTTATATGGTTTTATCTTCAATCTGTCACATGCACTAAATCTTTTATTTAAATTTTATGTTAAAACTTGCTATGTTTCAACTTATGCTGCAAATGGGATTTTGTTATCTGTTTGACTATTAACCTTTTGATTTGGAAGGATATCCTCACATTTTGGTGCAAATATTAGTCTGGATATGCATTTTAAGCATGCAGTTGGGGAATAACCAGAACAAGTGTTTTGATATGCTTGGATTTCATGGAATAACCTATAATTTGGTTTGTTACTGCCAATTTGATTTAAAATTCTTATACAGCTCTGCCCCTCTGCTATGCAATTGCAGGGACTTGAAAAGACTTTTGGATCAGCATAGTTGAGTGCAACTATATATTGGGGTTGATCGTAGAGTTTGGCTGTATCCTGTAGGAATGAGTGCTTTTGGATTAGGATCCTTTTATATTTTGTTCTTAATAAGAAATTTGATAGTTCATCTGATATCTGTAATGACCTTTAGGATGAAGGTTTATGGGTGTTTGAACTTCAGTGCTTATTCTTGAATCTTGGTCAATTTCTCTGTCTTGTGAGTTGTGATTAATTGTTTCAAGGGTCTCTGTTGATTATGACAATATATTAGTTTTTTCTCTTTTGAATAATAATGTCAGTTCTTCTAAATTCGCAGCATTTGTTTTTACTTATTTTGGGTTTATATTGATAATGCACAAATGCTAAAAGCTCTGTGTTAGAGTAGCAGGACTATAAAGCCCATTCTTCAATGACTTTTTGTGATCATTCATTATTCCTTTTAGGAAGCTGAGACTCTAAAAACAAGAAGACAAATTCAATTGCAATTCTAATCAGTACTGTTGCTAGGTTGAAGATTTTCATGTCATTTCCAAAGACCTTGCATAGCTCTTATAATGCATCTGTGACTCGTGATTCTGTTTGTATATCAATAATTATTCCCGGTGCAAGTGTCATAATAGAGACTTGAAATCACATGGGATGCTGATGTTGTGAGAGGGAAGAGTACAAGTGGTGTCGCTGTTAGTTTGTGCAAGTATGGCCCATTGCACATTGCATTGATCTGTTTGTAGGAGAGGATGAAGTTCCAACCGGGAGAAGCTGGTTCATGAATCATGTGTTGGAAATAGTTGGTCTTCTATTGGTTAGTGACCAATGTGTAGGTAGACGACTGCCAAATTTGGTTATCTTCTGTTTGCCTAAGCACTTCTCAAAACAGTTAATCTATCGCACACTTCAATCATGTAGCATGCTTTGGCTGTCAATCGATGAGGTCTGCACCCGAATCACACCAAGCTCGGTCGAACAGCTCTATAGAGCATGACATGAGTTAGCTAAATTTATCTTACTACCCTTATAGTTTAGCTCATGTTTGGTTTCTGATTAGAGGTTCCTTGTCCTTGTTGCAAGTTTTTCCTTTAGCTGCTTGATACCTTTTTGGTTACAAGAGAGCCAACTGGGGAGAGAGATTCAAAATCTAAACTTGGATGTATGGGAAGAACGATAATCATTTTATTTTTTATTCAACTACGGCGAGAATGAGACCCGAACTCTTGCCGTCTTGTAAAGTAATATGCTTTTACCACTGGGAGATTATTGAGCCACGATTCTATATTTAGCCAAAACTTTTAATGAAGTTAATCGCTGGTGTTCATGGTAATCAAATATAACATCACCAATAAATTAAAGTTTTTTTTTAAAAAAAAAGTGGTAACAGAAGGTTCGTTTTCGTTTGAGCATGTCAAACAAACAGAAAACATCGAAGTTGGTTTTTCTCATTTGCATTCATACCAAATGTTGATTTTAAAAGAAAAAAAAGGAAGTGAAGGGCCACAGTTAATGTCAGCTGTGGATGCAAAGTTTCAGTTCACTCTTGCAACAAAGAAGCATGTGGGGCCACGTGCAACTTGCTCTCAACTCAAACCTATATGGGCTACTATTTGAAGAGAATCCCTGAAAAGAAAAAGTCTAAGTGAACACCAAGTTCTTCCCATCTCCACTTTCTCTTGTGGTCCACGGGCCAACAAAGAGACATTCAACAAAGTTTTTTCATAGGTGGATTTAACTCAAGTCACATTGAAGTGGGGGCAGGAAATTAATCGAATCTAGGTTCAACATTTGTTGCAAACAAAGAAAGTCAAGAGATCGATAATAAATTAGTAATCATTTTCTCCATTCACTCAAAGCTTCAAGAAAGAAATGCATCACATTTTCTAATCATATTAGCGGGTCATATATGTAATGTAACTAACGACATAGATCAATTTGAAAGAATTGAGAAGAATTAGATTCTGGATTCCTATTGAAGTTGTTTGCTAAATCATATGGATTGATGAGAGTTAGATTCCAGATTCCTATTGAAGTTGTTTACTAAACCATATGGAATTCGGGTATGAGTTGTGCTAATTACTAAAATGTCCTCGTTGTTGGATTAAAGTAGATGACAAATTTGGAAAATTTAAAATTGTGTGAGGATATAATGAGTAAAAAATATGACTTCCTAAATGGTTAGTTCTTCAGAAATTAGAATATCACCTCCCATTCAAGAATTATTCCACCAAAATCAGGAATTCAATTCCTAATTTTGTGCGGGCCCTACTCACTTTTTAATTCCTTGATGTGAAGTAAACGCATGAATTCTTCATATGTGAAATTCAATTCCTGATTAGTAAACACACCATAACTGATTATATATGACACAGAACCGTGTGTACTTGTTACATCAATTATTATCATTAACAATCGAAAAACTCTTTATAATAATACGAGGTTCATGGAGAATGTCGAAGCCCAACTCCTTATTATTCGCCATTTCTGACTAGAGAATTAGCAACAAAATTGAATTCCCCAAAAAAATGTGATGAATACCAAAAGTCTACAATAAAGCTCCACACGGTGACAGGAGAACAAAGCAAACAAGCTTAAGGCACATTTTCCTACACATTCCTTCTCATGAATTCTGATCAAAAGTCTTCAAAAAATGGGCAAACACACTTGATCACTTTGCATCTTCCTCCTTGTTTCCAGTAATTTTTTTTTCTTCAGTTTTCTCACGAGCTGTTGAGTCAGAAATAGCTGTTGCTAATCCACTATCCATCAATATCATGCCGAGAGTTGAATTTTCAGCCTCTTTTATGAATTAAGATTTTTTTTAAATTTTATCTTCACAAATTTTTAATAAACCATTAAAGAGATTAACGTGTCTTCAGCAATTCATGTTCATCCGGTGAAGAAAAACTTAATTACAATGGGAATAACACTGATTTACTATCCCCGCTTCATGGAAGTGTTTCTCCATCTGGTGCTGATAACTAAACCAATTGAGATGCATGCAGGAGAAAAGGAGAAAGAGGAGAAAGCCTTCACACGGCGGTAGTATCCATGAATATCTTTTGGTTTAATGAGAAAAGGGGGTTAAAGAACCCCAAAAGAGTATCTTTTCACCTTCTAAAAGGGTTAAAAAGTTTGACAGACAAACTAAAGTGGGCACTCTTTTAGGTGCTCATTGGCAAGTTGACACGTTTGGGAATAATTATGTAGAAAATACTTCTTCTCCTCATAAGTGCTCTTTTTTTTTGGGTACAGAGGGGGGGGGGCAAACGCCCCAAAACAGAAACAATTAAATAGGAACGAGGCGAGGGTCTAGCAGCACCTGGATCATCAACATCTAAAATGGCTCTAAGAAAGGCAGGAGTTTCTTAAAAACATGGAGGCCATGATTAAACTCATAAATTTTGGCAGCCAAGGCATCAGCAGCATAATTCTGCTCTCGAAAGCCATGCTTGACAGAGCAGTTCCAATCTTCACGAATCTTCATAACACAGCAAGTAATAATACTGAACAGAGGGTGGGTTTGGGCAATTGGGTTGTCACTAAAACTACTGCTCATAAGTGCTTTACTAAGCACAAGAATGTTAACATTTTTTCAGCCAAACAAAGTCCTCCAAAGTCAGTGCCAAACAGACCCCAAGTGAGAATTTTATGTATGTTACTTCTCCGATTCTTATCACAAGGCTAACCATTGTTTAACTTATTTGCAACTTTTTCTTAATACCTTGTGCAAACATGAAAAGGTAAGTTGTGAAAGTTTTCCTCCTTATAACACATGTTTTAATTATTAATACTACAACCCATAAACTCGTCATCCACCAATATTATAATATGTGAATTTAATTACATCACATGACGATGTTTTAGTACTCTACAAGAACTTTCCGTATAATTAATGCAACCATATCAACTAGAAAAACTTGTGTGAAATGTTAATCAAAACTCTCTTTATCTACAGCAGCCATATCAATCAGAAAAACTTGGGCGAAATGGAGAGTAGATTTGTTTTGCTATCCTTAGCCAATTACAGACTTCCACGTAGAAAAGTTAACACGCATGACATACCATGGTTCATCAGAAATTGCAAAACAATGTTATTCCTGTTTCACACAAGTGTTTCTCCATATGAACAGGACTGCAAACTTTCAGAAAGCTCAGAATTCATTGGTTCTTGTTATAACTTTTGATCAACTTTTATCTTTGTGTGTGCGTGTTGAGAGATTTAGGGCAACCGAGCTCCTCTTGTCTTTAGCTTTGATTTAAGTCACAAAAGGACTGAATAGAAGTACAGGTGGCTCCTAATGCACTTCTCCTACTGTACATACACATTGCCCACCACCAGCAGTTCGAAAAGGGACATCAAGAAGTCCCAGCAGGAAGACACCCGCATAGATACTATTGTCCCAAAGGGAACACTAAAAAATTTGCAAGCCACGATACCACCTATCTGGTTTGCTAATTGCTTACTTTTTTTTTAAACCATTATTGCCAATTCTCTGGGCCCCAATCACTCCACCACAACACATCAAATCATGAGGCAATTAAAACGAGAGTAACTCTACCCACTCACTAATATTTTAGCTGCACTGTGAAGCTTCTTATCATAAACTCATCTCCACTCAGCATTGCACATTGGTTTGGTAGGTGCCCCATCTTTACTGCCAATTGATACCTACTTGACATGAAAGGGTTTTGTCTGGTGGGTAAAAAACTTATGTCCTATATGCAGGGAGTGATGTAAGTGGACTGTGTTTTGAACTTTTGACAGACTAGAGTTTACTAATGACTGTTGGTAACTAAGGAGAAGAAATTCACAGAAGAAAGAGAAGAAAACTACTGCTTGCAAGGTGATTTTCCTATTGACCAAGTCATATTGAGAATAAGAAAAATCCCATCATCATACTCACAAATCCACTTAAGTTAAACAGAAACCAAGTTGTATAATTGGTGTGGATAAGAAGCAAACGTGGCAGACACTTTAAATAAACATTTAGAATAATGATTTTGACTAGTAATGTTGTAGGATTGTCAACTCTGTAATTCTTCCGGTTACTCCAAAAGGAAGGATGTAAAGTTGGTGTCATTTGAGGAACAGAAAAAAAGGAGAAAGATGAAAGTGAGGAATCCTAAACTTTAACAAGGGAAACAGTGAAGATGACATAGACATTGTCCCCTGAAGCACCAAGCATCACAAGGTAGGGGCCACTTCATTGAGAAGAGATAAAATAAAAAACAGGCATTCTCCACTTTACATTCTTAATGCTTCTCTCCATTTCTTTCCTCTTTTTCTCTTTGATCAAACCCTTCAAACAGTCAATTACAACCATTTCAAACCATTGCACAAGCTTAAATTCATCCATTTCCTTTTGAAACCCTCACCTAATTCGAGATTTGAGAAGAAATGATCTCCCAGGGAGAAGGAGAACGTGAAAGTGAACTAATATTAGATAAAGAGCAAAACAGATTTTTGATCAACAACGATAACAAAGAAGAAACTGAAGATCTTAATACAGGAGAGTGGCTGAACCTGAGCCTAGGTAGGAATTTGCTCTCAACAGAGGGAGACACAGACTCACAGTCAAGACCAGCTTCTGGCAAGGTGTTTTCTTGTAACTTCTGCATGAGGAAGTTCTTCAGCTCGCAGGCATTAGGGGGTCACCAGAACGCCCACAAGAGAGAAAGAGGTGCAGCCAGAAGATACCAGTCTCAAAGAATGATGTCAATGATGGGATTTCCGTTCACTACTTCTACAGTTAGATCACTCAGCGTTCAGCCCCACGCACTTGTGCACAAGCCAAGCAGAGATGAAACTTCACTTGTAGCAAGATTCAATGATGCAAATACAAGGTTTAGCATGAGGCCTTTCACACTGGACGATGTAATGGATTCTATGTGGCCAGGCAGCTTCCGGTTGGATTCACAAGTATTAGAGCCACAATCAGAGCCATGCAAGCTTGACTTAAACCTTCGGCTCTGATCCATCCATCCTACTACCTTTGTTTGGAACTTTGTTTTATGACTTTTCTTTTGGAAGAGGTCTCAATTATTTTCTACCAAGTACAGAACTAGCATAGGTTAGAGGCCTACTTGGAGAGTCATCCTCTGTTTATCTACTCAATGAAACTCGGAAAGATACTGAGAAGTTCCTACTGTTTTAGGCATGTTATAATATTGAAGTTATTTCCTATTCCATGATGCATGCAATAATCTCAAGTGCATTAGTCTCATGGAAATGAGTTCTTATGAGGTTTTTCTATTCTGCTACTGATTATCAACTTCTAGCTTTGTTGTATCTATGGCTCAAACAATGCTATGGCTTTTCACAATATTGACTTGGCAAGATTCTAGCTTAAGAGCCACCCTAACCCCAGCCTGCTTTTACCACTCAAAAGCTACATCCCTGAGGCCTTCAGAAAGGTCAAAGCATAGGCAGATTAGCAACTCTAAAAACTCAGAGATTTTGAAAGTAACAACAAAGTTCTGACATGTCATATTTTTGTATGCATGCGAAAGTTTCAGCAGGTTGTAGCCAGGGCCAAGACCGCACACCTAGGTTGTAAGTCAAAAGAAAGAGTTTTGCACTATACAACTTTACTTCCTTAAGCTCCACAAAGAATCATATAATATGAGAATTTGGAAATTTTCCTCCGTTAACATTTTATGCTACTCCTCCCAAATCAATGCCTCTATGTGGTGCCTAGCATTTATTTTCCTGTACTTTTCTTTTGCCTTCCTAAACTGATAAACGGCTAGTGGCTGTAATTCTTACATATACCATGCCAGCAACGGAAAACATGAGATCCCAAGTGATATCCTTACCAATGGAGTCTATCCTACCAGAAAAAGGACAAAGATGCTTTTGGAGAACACATCAACAACAACAATCCCAATTTATCAGTTTCCTATACTGACTTCTATATGTCAGATAAAAAATTATGTCTATTTGTGATGCATACCTGTCACATGCACTCCCTCTATCTGGTTTCGTATACCATTGCCTAGAATTGCTTAATATCAGAGGACATTGTTTTTCTGATACATTTTATTTTTCACATATAAACTGATGCTAAGATTATTCTTAAACTTTATAATGAGATAACCATCTGGAACTTCCTTTAGATTTTTACTTTTTATTTTTAAGGGAACTTCCTTTAGATTAACATAGAGGGGATGTGGTCAATTAGTTCAACTTCTATACAATGGACGTTCTACACTAGCAACACATGGGTCTCTCTGATAATTTTTTTTGTTTTTGTTTTTTTGGTTAAACTAGGATCTATCCTCACCCCATATCGCTTAAGCGAAGGTCCAGGGACGCATCCTGAATGTTTGTATGTAAACCATTTTTTAATTTGATTTTTAGAGAAGTTTATTTATAGAAATAAATTATAATCTCGTATGAAAGTTGCAACCTTATTACTAATTCATGTTGTATTCCCTTTGCTTTCCGCTCTCCCCACAATTATTGTGGTGGCATGATACAAATATAAAAATAGGAAATTTGCATAAAGTACTCTTTTTTTTTTTCTTTCTACTTTTCCAAATTAATTGAACAAGAGAACTTAATAAACATGAGAAAGAGTAAGAGAATATGTGAATGTGAAAAGAAAAGTTTACATTCAATAGAACCCAGCAAAACAGAAACTCCTGCATGGAGACAATTTACAGCCTTACACATTATCAGGTACCTTTAGCTTTTGGGTCTTATGCATGATCACAGGAAGCCTTTGGCTGATGATGCTTGGATCATTATAGGCAGCATCTTCAGAAGGGTATCCCTTCTGCACCATTTAATTAAGAAATGAGAAAAGAAAATACTTCATGCACAACGCAACAAAAAAACTTCTTTCTTTTGACAATACTACTAGTAGGAAAATTAGAAAGGTCCCATAGGAAGAAGAAGGACAAAATCACTAGTAGGAACTATTAGAAAACACCTTTAGAGAAAAATATAGTTGCTAGTTTATTAAAAGTCAGTTAGCTGACTATCTATTTCAAGTCCATAAGATAAAACAGCAACCAGATCCCATGTAGAGTAGCATGCCACCACATTACACTTAAGCAAAGCTTGACTTGAATACAACTTACATCCTTACAAAAAATGCCTTGAATACAAACCGTGTTCAAATTTGATGAACAGAAAATGCCTGTTCATTTTCCACAAGTCACACAACAATCAAATAAGTTTTGGGAAGTGGGGGAGGTTCAGAGCATCTCTTTGTTTCACAAGAGTAAACAAAACAACTAAATAATTTGAGATAGTGTCAGAAAGAAAGGCAGCATTATAATTTGTATGCAAGCACAGAACTTCAACTTACTGCAGATAAAGCCTGAAATGTGGCTTCTCTCCAGCAGATTTCTCGAAGAATAGTGGGACTTGCATTGTCATTAAAAGCACAATGCATTCGAGTGTCCCTTAGTCTCATTAGCGCTCCATCAACTCTAAGCTGTAAGAAGATCTGAATCAGTAAGTTATAACATTAAGGAAACAGAAAGAAGAAGTGACTGATAAATCATGAAGTTTCCAAAGAGCTTGGTATTTTCTTTTTCCAAATAGTTAGAATACTTCCTAAGTAAGTCCCAGAGTTAACAAATTAAGAACTTGTGCCAAAACAATTTTATCTACCAAAAATACATTGATAATTGTGCTTGGAAGGAATGTAAGTGAATTAAGAGAAATTGACTCACCCAAAATCGCAACAGGAGAAACCAACAACTTGGCATGACTCTCTAGAAAATCAAAATGTACATGATAAGTCCTTCCTTGCCATCGTCATATTGTTGGAAAAGCAGATTAAGCCACAAGGGGAAAAATGGAGATTGAAGACTTACCACTTTTACAGTTAAAAGTGACACTCCACTATCAGCCAATTCATCTTCATACAAGACCACCTGTAGAGGTTAAAAGGATGACTTTTGTCATGGCAGGTACACACATAAAAAGAAAAGAGTAGATAAACGCATATGTCTGCATTGGCACAGCCTATGAATATGCTTCTAGTTATCAGCCAGGATGCCCACCTCATCATAAAAGAGAATAGGCTCTTTCGAAGCCAAAGCAACTACATCGATTTTTTCGTTGCAGTCTTCCCAATGGAGATTGCAGGTATCCTTAGAGATCTCTCCTCCTTCAAGCTGCCGTATAAAATATGAATTAATACTATAGTATCACTATCTTTCCTTTTTAAAGAATACTTCATATCACTATCATAATATAAACAACAGTCAAATAAATAACGGAAAGGCTTTGCATCCAGAAACCTTGTAGTTCCTTCTTTTAAGCGAGGTTTAACAAAACAGAGTGAGAATGCTCAACTATAGAAAAAGATAAAATGTGCACCTTGTCTGCATCAAACTTAACAGTTTCGCTTCCGCAGTATGGCGTTGTGAATGTATAATCATAGTCCAGTATTATTTGCTGGGAGGGTTTACTGAAAATTGAGAAAAGGAAGTAAGACCGAAAACCAGTATCTCCATCAGTACAAGTTCTTTTTTTTTCTTTTTTTTTAAACAACAACAACTCAATCGACAGATTCACAACCACCATCAAGACACAACTATTTCTATTCCACAACAAAGTTATCAGAAAATAAATTGGAGAGAGATTCAGAAGTCGAGACATATTTCTATCCTGTCAATTGAATTTGCCAGTCTAATTTAGCTCCACAAAATTATCCCCATACTTTAGATAGTACAAAGCATACGGAGGGTCTCCTAAAGCATCAATCAATCACCCTTGAAATCAAAAGAGGTACACATTTTAGTAACACGCTATAGAATTGAGTGTCAAAAAGCAACCCAAGAAAGAACAGAAAAACAAAAGTCCATCCGAGTACATAAAAGTAGCCACTGGGTTACCTTCGGAATTTCCATTGAGCAGCAGCTGGGACTTCAACTGGTGGCAAAGCTTCCTTCTTCCACCCAACTAGAGCATCAAATGCATTGAAATGAATTGTAAAGCCACTCTTAACGTGTTTCAGAGCCAAACAACTGTCCCCAAACACCATTTCTGGCATGTGATATGTCTCAAGCTTTTTCTCCCACCTGCAACAACCCACATCAAGAAACATCCCTAACATGGCATCTACCTTGAAAATAAATAAAATTGAAACTTTTTAACAGCAACCCAGCATCAAATCAAGAGCATACAGTTCGAGGGTGGAGGACTTGAGAATGGAGCGCTTGCGAGACTCGATTTCCCAACCATGGATACGGAGGCCATGGCGTCCGTCGGTCAACGGCTCAGCTCCGGCGGCTTTCAGCTCCTTCTCGTCAACCTCCACTTCCATTTTTCTGCTCACCGATTCTCCTGGTTTTCCCTTGCTTCTCTTCTTTCTTCTTCCGTCGCTTCGCGTTTTTGTTCTGGTTTCTCTATTCTACTGTCGAGTGTCGACGACTTGGGCGGGTCTCTTAAACGAGACTCGGACTTTGGAGCTGATACTGCCTCAAAACTTTTTCGGGGTTGGGGGTTTAACGGGTTAATTTTTTTTTTTTTTTTTTTTTTTTTTTTTTTTTTTTTTTTTTTACCACGAGATGTCTCCACATCCAAATAGTGAGATTAAATGCTAGCTTCTCTATTTTATCAGGTATTTTTTTTAAACTATTGTTTGTCAAGGTTTTCATACACACACAAAAAAAAAAAAAAAAAAAAAAAAATCTTGGAATGGGAATAGCATTGTCTTACTATTAACACAATGACACGTGGAAACGTTAGCTTAAATGTCGTTTCATTATTAACCAGAATAGTAAAAAGTATTATAGCCATTGCATGAGAGTGTTTCTCCTACCACAGGTGGGGTGAAAGCTAGTAGTTTGATACAATATTGTGTTGTTACTTGTTATTTTTAGCTTTATTTTCTTTCAAGGGTATAATTTAGTGGTAAAAGTGTTACAAATTTATTACATAAATAGTGATAGTGGACAAACAAAAATGAATATAGATAAGTTTATTGAGCTTGCAATGGGTAGTAATAGTTGTTGCAACTTCAAAAAAGAGAATTGTCTTACATTGAATAGGGCTTTCCAAATAATTCTATATGTATTTATGAGTCTAAATAATCTCATTTTCAATTATTAAACCATTCATTTATCAAGTTCAATGAATAAATTATTATTCCCTTCAAAAACTCTACGCTCACAACTAAATTCTAGCCACTTTTTTCCTATGTAAGTTCTAAAGGAAAACTCCATAGAGTGAGGAAGAGAAAGAAGCATCACTGCCCCTCCTCCCCCTCCTCAACACTTTACATGAAGAATACTTTCACCTCTCTTACTACTATACCCATAAAACTTTGTTTGAAATTGTTGTTAGCGGGTAGGCATATATATTTTTAATTAAGTATAACCGTTTTTTAAAAATAAAAAACACCATAGTATAGTTGTGCGGCCATACTACTTATTTTAAAAAAATTAAGAAAAAAACACCCCAATATAGTTGTGCGGCTGTACTATTTATTTATAAAATATAAAATAAAATAAAAAGGACCCCAATATAGCCCCGCGTCTATACTCTTTAAATATATTATATTTACAAAGTAAAGCCGCACGACCCTTTGTTTCTATGAGTATAGCCGTTAAATATATTTTATTTAAAAATTGTAGTTGTGTGGCCATACTATTTATTTTTTAAAAAAATTAAGAAAAAAAGACCCCAATATAGCCGCGCAATGGTACTATTTGTTTTTTAAAAAAAACACACAACCTAAATAGACGTCTAATGACCTTTTTTTTTTTTTTTTTTTTTTTTTTTTTTTTTACTTAAAACATACAAAAAAAAAAAAATTTTTTTTTTTTTTTTTTTTTAAAGTATAGCCGCATGGTTATACTCTGCACGACTATATTAATTATTTATAAAAAAATGAAAAAAACATCCATAGTAAGAACTAACAACATGAAAAGCACCATTACTCAACCTGATCAGCCCTTGACAGTTCCTCTTGCAATAACGCTAGCTGTTGGAGTTTTAGGACTCGTCATATATAAGGGTATCTTTACTCGAAATTTTGATGTGATTTCGAAAATCATTAGACTGATAAACTTTTACTTTGTCCCTCTTAGGTCCCACTATAAGTGTATTGCAAGTATCTTTCTACTCGGGAAAGACAGTTAACAGAGAAGGTTACACTGGAAGCAAAACATAAGCTTTCTAGTTTGAGAGTTTGCAAAGAAGGGTGCCCTAGGAATTTTGAACTTTTGTGGCCTACTTGCATTAGTTTATATTTTATAGTTATTAAGTTGCTAGTTTCAACATATCCAAAGCAGATATTGAAAAGAGAGAAATTTCACAGTAAATCAATATGAGAATTCTATTTTTTTTATTTTTTTATTTTTTTATTTGTGGGAATGTTTGCCTTTGATCTACCTTGTTCTATTGAGTGCTACTAAATAGTTTTACTACACACATTATTTGTCGTAGATAATTACATGCTGAGTTGGAGTGGTCTTGGTAATTGCTTCACTTTCAAACAACACTTTACAAGAAGAATACTACCACCTCTCTTACTATTGTACCCATAAAATTTTGTGTTGAAATTGTTATTCTGGTTGGCAAAGAAATTGCAAAATCATCATCTTGCATTTTTCGTACAAGTAAGAATAATCTTAACCTCTCAAATTCTTTAATAGTTAGTGAAATACGGAACGGGAAAAATACGAATAAATACGTATGTGTTTTATTCAACAAAATTTTGGCAAGTTACAACTGAAAAGTTCAGCCACTATATAATATTTTAATATATATTTTTAAATATTTGAATATTTTTTTTATTCAATAGTATGTTAAAATTATGTTTATAATATGTTAATTTTGTGTGTATTATTGAAAATTTTGTTAAAAAAAACACGTGTATTAAACATGAAAAATGCATACATACGTGTACAATACATGTATTTTATGTTTTTTTTAACTTGTATTTTACCGAGTTTTTAAGATGTGTATGGAAAACAGAAGTATTATTGAAAAATATGAATGCACGTGTATAATACGAGTATTAAATGGGAAAATGCTAAATTCTTTATACGGTAATAACTCTAAAAAAGTAACAAATCAAAAGGGGACAATAAAGACTCGGGTAATGGCCTAATAATGAATAATGCTCTAAACTACTCTTATCGATAAACGAAAATTAGGGGGAAAATTATAAAACAAAGGGACCCTAGTATAGCCGTGTAGCTCTTTTTTAAGTGAATAGCCATGTGGCTATACTCTTTAAATATATATATATATATTAAAAATATAGTCGTGCGGCCATACTATTTATTAAAAAAGAAGAAAGAAAAAAAAACCCCAATATAGCTGCACAATGTTACTATTTATTAATAAATAAATAAATAAATTAGTCTGCCTAATTGCCTAGGCGGCCGAATTTTTTATTTTTTATTTTTAAATTGTCTTTTCCTTTTAGGTTAGTGAATAAGTATACTCGGGCGTTTTGAATATAAAAAATCTATTGTAGTGATTTCTTCTGAGCTATGCTTAGATTAAAGTTCTCCATCACCCATTTTAGTCTATGTTCTCAATCAAATCCTTCACCCAAAACTCACTCCTTAATGAGGCTCATGTTCTCTAAATTTGATTTTACATCGTCTTTTACGGAGGTTGCTGCAAATCACCCAATTGTTTTTTAGCAAGGTTGTTGTTTTTGTTTATTTATTCGCTCTTATGCGTAGGTAGATCATTGAGAATCATATTTTCCCCAGATATGTTATATATGCAGTGGTGGGTATAGCCAAGATTGCGCTTCTTCATGTGGTGGTGGTAGGGTTTGTTTAGGCTCATGGATTGTTTTAGGATTTTGGTTATGTTGGGCTTGTGGGCTTTCTTTGGGCTTATGGTTAATTGAGGTGATATGGGCTAATAGTTTTAGTGCGGCTTTTGTCCGTGTTAGTTTGTTGCCTTATTGGGCTTGATACTTTAGATGTTTTGTTGATATCTTTAATTGTATCGTTGAAATTTATCTAAAAAAATTTCTCTCTAATTGAAAATAATAATAATAATAATAATAATTACTATACCCTTCCTTAATAGAGAAACATCTATTATGAGTCACATAATTATATTTTCAAATAGATCGAAGTCCGGAAGAAAAAATAATTAATGATACAATCAACCAACGATTTATGACTACTTATTCCATTGAAAATATATATATATATTTTTTTTAAAAAAATTGATAGAAAAACTTTGTGGTTGCTAAATAACAAGGATCGGAAGAAATACTAAAGCTGCAAGAAATCCTACAAGTACAAAGGATAGAGAGACGAGAAAGGTGTAGTAAGCGATGAAATGCTTCGAAATAGAAAGAAAACAAAACACACAATCTTTTTTGTTTGTATTGGATTTTTGTATTTTAACAACGTATCTTCATAGACCAAGAACTACGAGATCACCCCACTATTTGGCTTGGGCCAAGCCTAGTGCTAATTAAGTGTCGGGTTACCTTAGTAGCTGATCTTTTGGGTTTAAACATGAGTGCTGCTATTTCCACCCCTCTGTCTTATTTTCCCACCCACCATGTAAATTTTTTTTTATAAAAACAATCCTATTTTTCCACCCACCATTATTCCTAAAATGCCATTTAATTATTAATTTAAACAAAATAAAGTAAAATATTAATAATAAGATAACATAGAAATAAAACATAAAGAAGTCTCTCTCCTTCTCTCCCCACCTTCCCGACCTACCCCAACCCCTGAAGCCCTCAACCCTAGCCAACATTCCCTCCCCCACCCGTTCAGCCTCCATAATTCCCTCTCTTTATATGCATTAGATAATTCTTCTCTATTACTATTGCTTTCTCATCTCCTTCTGAAATGGGTATTGTTGGGTCCAATTTTCTACAAACTAGAGCCTCCATTGTCTACCTCCTCTCAGGAATTTGGATTCTAGAAGAGTGAGCTTCCATTCTTCTATTACTTGTTATATTTATGTGTGCCCTGACTTGGTCTTGCTTAAGAATCAAGTAAAGTTTCAAGCTTTCATGGTGGGACCATCATCTTAAGCTTTCCTTCAAGATTTGGTTCAGATACGAAAAGCCCCAACAATCTTAAATGTTTCCTAGTTTGTTGAACAAGACTCGTAAACAAGTGCTAGGGGGAATGGTGGCTAGGGTTGTATAGGGGGGTGGCTGTAGAGATTCCAAGGATGCGTTGGGGGTGGCTCAGGAGGGGGAGACATAGGGAGAGAGAATTTGTTTTTTAGGAAAGAAAATCTTATTTTATTATTAAATTTTAAGTAGAGTTTGAGGTTTTTTTTCCGAGTCCTTAAAAGTAATTTTACAAAAAGATAAATTTGTTTTTAAAACTTTGATTATAAGGTGGGTGGAGAAATAAAATAGGTGGGTGGAAATATCAACACTCTTAAACATTATCAATTTAAAATTTTCGATTCAAGTCCTCCATCACGACAACTCATCTTAAAATAGTGCCTAAGAGCACTTCCACCCATTTGTTATGGTAAAGGGTAAGGGCAAAAGAAGGGTTGTTATTATTCACGTGAATAGTGACATCCATTACAAAGGGCTTGTGGTGTTTCCACCCATTGCCATGACAATCCAAAGGCAACCACTATTCACATGAGATGTTAAGTATTTATTTTAAAAATATGAAATTTTTAGTATTTTTTCAGATTTTTAATTTTTTTGTTGTTGCTGACATCAGCAAACTTAGGCAACAGCTCAAACTATTCTTACCTTCTGGCCTGCTCAGACTTGTGGAGCTCACCAGCTGCCCAGGCTGCTGAAGCCTGCTGGAACGTGGAAATGAGGCTTGGGCCCCCTCCTGCCCTGGCCAAGGCTGGCAGCTGGGAGTGCTCTAAATGTACCTAATACTAACCTTTGCCACTAGTATCCCAACAAACTATATTCAAATTCATAGACCCTGAAAATGATCACTATGCGGTATGTAGTGTACAAGCCATCACCATTGTCACTAGAGTTTATCAAAGATTTAGCACTGAAGATACATATGCTTAAAAAACTCTTTCAAAATTGGACATGAAATTTGCGTTGAGGGCCGTGGATATTATGGAACAGGTTCTCGAATTATACTCAATTTGCGTACGGAACATGGGCATACCATGAAAAGGAAAAGCTTGATTAGAAAAAATTGATATGCCTAAAAAATATATAATCCTTTATTTCACATCCACAGCAATTTACAAATATTTGGGTCCAGAGAATGAACCCAGTGAAACATAATGATTCTCAAAAACCTATTCAGTATCCAAAAGTCAACTCCAAACCTGAGGTCATAGGTGTCTCTGCATCTAAATTCTAAGCAAGCATTGACTTTAGGCACCATTCATCTACCAGCTTCAAGTTGATCAGTCCCTAACTCTTACTAGAAATGTAATTTGTTGAAAGTAATTCTTGAAAGCTAGGTCAAACTTCAAAATCAGCTTCTTTCAGAATCCAGAAAATACTTATATGTCGATGGCCTCAAAATAAATTGCAGGAATTTGGGGTAACGAAGTCAATGTTCCCACGCACGCATACTGTCCAAAAAAGTTCAATCACCATGATCAGATAAACATTTCTTAAAATCAGCAATCACATGTCCTAAAACTCTCAAATTGGTTTATTGAAGGATCGGGTAGTGGATTTCCAGAAAATTTAAAGACAATGCTCCCCCTTATGGTAAATTTCAGCCAACCCCTTGTGGTAAATTCCAGCCAACACTGTTTCCGGCAATGCCCCTAGTTGTATTCTCAGAAATTAAAGCTCTTTTGGAAGTTAAATCTATAATATCACCTTTATTTACATGATACCCCCTACAAGATGCAAAATTTTCACACCATAAAACCACATTACCTTTGGCCTCCTGTATTTATCTCTTACTGCTCGCAAAGAGCTTCCTTTTATATTCAACTGCAAGTCATGAATGACATGGACACACATCTTTAAGTCGGATGGTCTATAACCAGAATATGATTGCAATGCCAAGCTCTGCAAAATTTATAAATGAAGTAACTAGAAAATCAGTCCAAATATTTCTAACAGATTCAATCATTATTCTTCCTCAAGCTAAAAGATTCGAAATATTCACTGAAATCTAGAAAAGTATTAAGCCTGCCTCCTGCATGTATTTCTCTCCCCTTAGTGTACTCATGAATTTTGTACAATTTACACCTAATAATCTCTCCACTGATTAAACTATCTCTACTGACTGTGAATGCCAAACCTCAGGTTAATCACAATACTCAATCCATTGCGTTATTTCTTACCCAAGGATGCACCTCAGGTTGGATCATGAACCTCGAAAGGAAAATAGCTGATGCAGCAACTACTGATGGTAGGAACTGGACACAACTGTAGTCTAGCAACTTAGCTCCACAAGATAACAACTCAAGAATTCCAATTGCGTCTTAGAAGACTGTAAAGGCAGAAATATAACAGAATCAGTGGAAAATAAAGGAGAGAATAAATCAGCATCAAAACAGCATAAAGAGGTCTCCCTACTTTGGAGTTCTCCAAGGCAGCTCTCGTTAAGATTCTGCAAATACAATAAGAAATCAACATTAATATCATTTGTCAGACACCAACTGCATAAGTGGAAGGAAAAGATAAGCATAAAAAACATACAACAACCATGGAAAACAGATGACCAAAGACTTGTCAAAGCATTATCTTGCCTGAGGAATTCTTTGTTGTGGGAGGACCAGTATCAAAGTTCAAGAATTTGAGTACATCCCTCTCCATTTCCAACACCTAATTGTTAATTCTAAATTCAACATTAATTAAAAAGCTCACAAATAAAAATCAACTAGCAGAGCAAAGCAAGTAAAAAAAGACACTCAAGTTGGTCACCTCTTCCATGATGTAGGTATTATCTGTTATATAGCAGAAGTCTTCAACACGTGGAGGACAAATCTCTTCATACTTTCTGCATCACAAAACCATACTCAAGTCACCATGTCAAGAATGCCTATACAGTTTTAAAGATAGAACAAAGCTAAAATAGGGTATTCAATTATGTACGATGCAACGAGCATGCAAGCAACACCAAGAAGCTGTAACTTGTTCCTGCTGATAGCATATGAAGACAGGTATCTGTCAATATATGATACAGTTAGAAAGAGGGTGTCTGTAACAAGCTGGTATTCCTCAGCAACCTCCACCAACCAATCCACCAGGATTCCTCGCATGTTTGGTGATATATCATTTTGAACCCTACCCATGTAACTGGGTGAAGACCTCTTGTTCATATCCATCTGAATCATACACTACCATCAGACATAGATACCATTATCCTATCAATCTATAGCATACAAGTGTGTTTGGTGATGCAAAAATGTAGGAAGACCGAGAAAATAACGAAAAATCATACTAATTTAACTATTTGGTTTATTTGAATTGACCATAAGCACAACCAAACTATTGTTAATCATAAACGAAAAAACTGCCACTTGGAACTTCTAAATCTGAAATTGAATTATCAAGTATCATTTCCCAAATATGTCAACAAAACATAAAAAAATAAAAATAAAAAATCTTAAGATTATGATGGTAACCAAACAAGGTGAAGAACTCAGGAAAAGGAAAATTAGAAAGCCAACTTTAGAAATCGAACTCATGAACCAAAACTAAAAGGAAAATCTTAAACACACATGAAAACCAAAAGAAATGTAAACCTGATCATGTTTTCAATAACGCAATCAATATCATTGGCCTAGACCCCATTCCATAACTCCAGAACCAACTAAAAAATCCCCAAAAGCTAAATACAAATGCAAATCAAGATTCACCAATCCAAACATCGAATTTCAAATCTCTACAGGAGAATTCATACCTCCAATGAAAGAAGATGGCGATATATAGAAGACGAATGATCAGACGTGTGTGGATCAACGGATCTCACAACGAGTTCAGTCTTGAGGGCCTCCCCTTCCCTCTTCGTCGTCTTCTTCTTCTTCTTCTTCTTCAAGCTACTCTTGGGTTTCTTCGGAGCCGAGTTCTGAGTGGAAACGACGTCGTTTGTCGAGTTGGAGATCTCACCCAACACGACTCGCTTCTTGGGAGCTGGAATTTGCAGGGACGGAGACATTGAAGGTCGCTTATTGGACGAAAGCGTGGTGCTCACGCTGTTTTCTTGCTCGTCCATGATTGAGATTTACAGAGAGGGCCTGTTTGTTTGTTTATGAAGCTTATGGGCAGAGAAGGAATGGCGGCATTTTACCATTTCGAAAATCCTTGTTCCCGCTCTTGGCAGTTTGTTAGGTTTATTGCTTTGGCTCCTAAGCTAATTCTGTGTTAAAAGATAAGTAGATATTTATCGATACTAATATTATTCGGGGAAAATAAATCATATCATCCACTCATATTAGCGAGGTAGTTTTAATTAAATAGGACATTAAGCTTTTATTTCTGCATAATTTTTCCCAGTCATTCCTTCATTTGATTTGGCTTTCCTACTCCAAATTTCGCGAGGGAATAGAATTAGGAATATATTTTTGGGGGGTAACAAGAAAAATTTAATCGAGTACACTTATTTTTTTTCATCCCTCTCACCATTTGGTCGTATATTCTCTCACAAATTTATTTTCCCTTCTCTCTCGAGTTTTGTTCTCTGTTTTTATGGTTGAGAGCTCCTGTATACTCAATCGAACTCATTTCCCAAACAGAAAATGAACGCATGCCAACTCAAGTAGCATCCTTCAGGTTATTTGAAGAGAAAAAAAAATTCAAAGTGCTACATTCAGTAGGTGCTTTAGGGTTCATAACTTCATACTATGAAGAGTGAATTTCTAGCAAGGATCAGACACTGGGATTAGAAAAATGGAACGGGCGGAAAGAGGATTAGCCAAGATTGTTTGATAGCAGCAGGGGCCCGTGTTCGAATCCCCTCCCTCAATATCACTTGGGTCAAAGAAATTTTTTTTCGTCTGATAGCAAGAACAATATCTAGAAATGCGAATTGATGACGAGCTCATTATACAGAACAGCTTTATATAGCATTTATGACGGGGCAATTAACTCTGACTCACCTGAAACAAGACACAACCCGGGCTCATCGCTAAGTTACACAAAACGATGGCTGTAATTCTCGGATTAATCCTTCAGGGTATAGCCAGATTTCTCGCCCCACAAGATCTCTCTTGCAAGGGGTAAATGGTTAAAATTATACTCTCTAGAGGATCAAAATTTGAATCAAGCAACAGATTTCCTTCGTCTAGTCATAACTCTGCTAGGTTTTCTATTAGTTTCTGGTTCAGCAGGAGGTGCTGGTGTCTCAGTTTTTGGATCAGGATCATCTGATCTACGCTTTCTCTTTCTATTGTTTGGAGTACTAAGCTTTGATCTGCTGCTTCCCGGAGACACCAATTCACGATCCTTGACATCCCTACTGCAGCAACCTATCATAGGATCACCTGTCCTGTGTAATTCCTTGTTTTGAGCTCCATTGTGATCAGAATCTCCAACAATTGCATCTCCTTGTTCAAGTTGTTTTCTATTTGTTTGAGGGGACGGGGCACAATTTTCTGAAGCACTTTTATCCACACCCACTTTTAAACAGTGGCGAGCATTTTCAAACCATTTGCTTACCTGCAACAATGAATTCAGATAAAGAAAACATGATATTGTACTGAAAATATTATTAGAACAGGAGATGTAATACTGATGCCAAGATGAAAGAAGGTATGACCTGCTTAGCCATTAGTCCTAGTTCCCGGGCCAGACTTTCCTTCATAGATCGGTCTGGATAATGGTTCTCCTTGAAGGAGTTGCAGAGTCTCTGAAATAACAGTTGACATCATTTAAGATAAACCTCTATGTATATTTTTCTTCAAAGAGATAGAAAGAGAGCTTGAAAATCATTGAATGACAAACATATATAGGCTACAGATTTTGACAAGACAAAAACCTAATCAATGGCCCAGATTGACAATCTGGCAGCATCTCATGCCAAACTGTTTGACAAGAGCTATTGTTACCTCAATTGCTTAGCTGGTGGTTGGGGGTGTGCTGTGGGGGACTGGCCTATTAAGTACTTGGGTCTCCCACTCGGTGGTAATCCTAGAGCTATTGTTTTCTGGGACCCGGTGTTCGAGAAGATTCAAAGGAGACTTCAAAAGTGGAAAAGAGCGTTTCTCTCCAGAGGGGGTAGGTTAACGTTGATTCAAGCCGTGTTGAGTAGCATCCCTACTTATTATATGTCTCTATTTAAAATGCCGGCCAGTGTTGTTAACAAACTGGAGAAGCTTATGAGATCCTTTTTATGGGAAGGTGTGGAGGAAGGAAAGAGGGATCATTTGGTTAAATGGGAGCGGGTGGCTAATTCTAAGGAGGAAGGTGGGCTTGGTGTGGGCTCTCTGAAGGAAAAGAATGAAGCTTTGTGTGCTAAATGGTTATGGCGCTTCCCCATGGAACCTAACTCTCTTTGGGCTACGGTGGTTAAAAGCAAGTATGGGTCAGCTACTAATGGGTGGGATGCTAATCCTGCTACTATGGTTACCTCTCTTAACCCTTGGAAGGACATTTTGGCGGGTTACCTAACTTTTTTACAGTGCTGCAGTTTCGAGGTGGGAAATGGGAATAGAGTCAGGTTTTGGGAGGATAGTTGGGTGAGGGAGGGGTTGTTGAAGGACTCTTTTACGCGCTTGTTTGCGCTGTCTTCAAAGCATTCCTTAAGCATTGAATGTTTTGTTGATTCTCAGGTTTTTCCTCATAATTGGGATTTTGGGTTTAGGAGAAATCTGAATGAAAGGGACACTGTCGAGGTGATTAAGTTGCTGGAAATTCTGGAAGGATTCAGATTGCGTGCTTCTAAAATGGATAGAAGAAGGTGGGATCTTGAGGAGTCAGGATCGTTCACTTGCAAGTCCTTTCAGTCCTTTTTGCGCAACAAGGGGAGGGTTGTGACCTTTCATCCCTTCTCTCTTGTGTGGAAGGCTAAGTCTCCCCCTAAGGTCAAAGTCTTTGTTTGGTTGGTGGCGCTTGGGAAAGTTAACACTTCGGATCTGGTCCAAAGGAGGAGACCTTTTATGTATCTGTCTCCTCAATGGTGTGTATTGTGCAAGCATAGTGAGGAGAATGTGGACCACCTTTTCTTACATTGCCCTTTTTCCTTAAGTCTTTGGGGGCTCTTGTGGAGGGAGGTTGGGACTGTTTGGGTAATTCCGAAAGGGTGCTCTGATTTCCTTTGTTCTCACTTTGTGGTTTGGGGAAAGGGGAAGCGCGCTTCAACTTTATGGGGCTGTTTGGTCCACTCTGTTTTCTGGAACATTTGGATGGAGCGTAATACGAGAATTTTTTAAGACTATAAGGGAGTGGGAGTGGTTGAGCTTTGGGATAGAGTTAAGTACTGGGCAGCTTTGTGGGCTTCGGTTACAAATGATTTTAAAGACTACTCTTATTCCACTATTATGAGGGATATGGCAGCTACGGTTAACTGAGGGTTGGGGGGTGTGTTGTTCTGTGGTTTTTCGGTTTTGTTCCTCCCTGTTAGTTGGGGAGGGACTGGTGCTGTTTGTTTCTGTGTGTTGTTTTTGTTTCTTCAGTGGTGGTTGCCTTATCCACCTCCGTGTTCTTTTGCTTAATAAAGTTCGTTTCTTCTCAAAAAAAACTGTTTGACAAGAGAAAACTTGTATATGTAATGTACATATATACAATTCCTCTGACTACAAAGTTACAAACATATTCTCTATGCAGTAGCGTAGCTCCCTAGGCTGATGGACTTAATTTTTTCCATTTTCGGTCTACTGACACATATTTCTCGCTTAGATTTAGGGTGGTTAACCGTACCATAGAAAGACTTTACAGACACATAGAGTCACAAATATTCGCGACAGTTCAGTCACTCTCTGTTGAACGGAAGTAGTAAAAGGGGAAAAAAAACTGAGACAGAAAGAACAAAGCATAAAATGCTATAGTTTATGTACGGGGAAAATAGAAGAAATTTTTTCAACTTTATATGCTAAAAAGCGTAGAAAAAATTCACACCATAATACCTGAGTTACAGCTTCCCCGAGTCTGCTATATGTTGATCTTGATGATCCAGCTCTCCCACTAGTCGAACCAGACTTAGTAGAGCCCTTAGGTGATTTATTTGACAAATTACTTGTATCTTCAACATTTGACTTTCGATGAGGCGTTCTCCTAGGAGTATTCTCATTCTCGTCTACATCAGGTTTTATATCTTTGGTGATTACTCCATTCTTAATGTTTGACGTTTTTCCATTTGGTGACCTATTAGCAACTTGTCCAGTACCTTTCTTCCTTTTCCTTTGTATGGCAATATCATTCCAATCTTCATCATCACTTGAATCAGTAGGAACATTTCCATATGCCTCCTTTACTCATCAGGGTAAATAGAACAAGCATAAGCAAACTAGAGAGTGGAATAGAACACGACAAGAAAAATAACAAAGTAGTACTGTGATACAAAGCACTGATAACCTAGCTGTAGAACAATGCATTTGTTCTTTCAAGCACAGTACTATACTCTACCAGATAACAAGCATAAACAACACCGGAATGAAACATACAACAGAGATTTATAAATTATAACCTATTTCATACTGCATAGCAGATTTCAGTCATTTATTTATCATTTATTTGTTTGAGGGAAGGAGCCCTGGATTTTGAAGCACTGCCCACTATGCACGTGTAGCTTTGAAACACCACAACCAAATCTTGAAGTTAGCCAGGAAGAAAAGAACCCATGTGAGGGTGGTCAAGGTAAAAAATAACCAGTTTGAAATGCATTTCTGTGTAGTAGGAATTTTATATTTAGTCCAAATTACTGCCGGTTAAAAGTTAAAACAAAATACTGTGTTAATGGAGATAAACAAAGACCAGAGGAGAACTGCGTTGCTTCCATAAAATACAACATGATGAATTCCCAATATTCAGAGAGAAGCAACAAACAAGTGTTTTTTCAATTCCCCCAAGAAAGAAAAGTCATATCCCGATGATCGCCAATTTCATTCAAGTAAAGAAAAAAAAATTAGAATCCTAAATCAAGTTAGAATTAATAAGACAGACATATATGTAATAATGCATTTATGTACTACTGCTACAGCAGAAGGAATTGATTTCAATGTGTTCAATCAACTCTTGCATATAGCATTAAGAACTGAAACCAAGGACAATCATAAATGACAGAAAGGACACAGTATAACAATCAAAATTCTGAGGCCTAGAGTAACAATTATTCTGTTTAGGGAGATGAGAATCATATTTCCCCAATTCAAACAGCAAAGTACACTAGGAAACTTGTGGAGTACAAATACCCTACCATGATATTAGACAAGGCAACAAGTGCAGTTGGAAGGTTCATAAAATCATAGTTAAAAAATACATGGAGGCAACAAGGCAATAAGATTATACTTTAAAAAGACACTCACATCATGCAGCCTTTTGTAGTCCAACCTTTCTATGTGTCTTTTCCCAGAAAGAGATGCTGATTCACCTTGGCCAGGACCTGACTCTAATAAAGATATCAACTCATCTTTTAAAGAATGTTTCTTTTGCCCGCGTCTGGAACTTCGTTCGCCAGAGCCTCTATGAGGCTTACTATCATCCAATGACGTTGATTTGGGACCTTCAACATCTTTGGAAGACATAATATTATTGTCAAGAGCAGCTCCAAGATCCTCAGAGTCCGATGTAAAATCAGAACTTGAACTTTCCTGCCTAACATCCTCATTGACATCTGGAGCATAAGGATTATAGTCATCATCCTCTGAATCCTCAGAAGGAAGCCCCAAGTACTGCTCGTCATTACTTTTTGGAGTCTCAAGTCCATCAGACGCAGATGCATATTCAGATTCATCAGAACTTGATTCTTCTCCCTCAACTTTATTATCCGTTTCTGGACCATCAGGGTCATAATCATTATCATCAGAATCATCTGATGGAAGTCCATGGTTGTCCTGATTTTCTCCTGTTGATGCTGCTGCAGCTGCTTCAGGAAATACCTTCTGCAAATGAAATAGGAGCAAGATCAGAGATCGGAGTGTTTAATTAAAAAGACAACACCAATGCAGCCTTTGACATTAACCTCCCAGCTGTCAGTGACAGAAAGATCTGTTCCTTGAGAGTCATTAAGTAAATCAATGCAATCAACTTTGCAGTCACATCCAGGGCATAGCCAACCCTCATCATCAGGGGGGACTGCAAGCCAAACAAATAAGTAAGCAACTGATGAATCATAAATAACAAAAAACAAAGGAGTGCTCTGGTCATTACTGTCTTCACTCAAAAGTGGTGGCTCTAGACAGAACTGGTGGAACCCACGGTCACAAGCACCATCACAGAGGATAATATCATTATCAAGAGACACATCCTTGGACCCACATTTTGCACAGAATATCTGCCCAATATTTAAAGTTCCGAAATAAAGTTATTCTTCACGTAAGATAGAAAAGAATAAGAAATCAGAACCTGTACACAGAAGAGTAAATATAAAAAAATACAACACTATTCTCATGCCAGAGGAAAAAAAATCAGATGACCAAATTATGTCAAATGAGAGAATTAGAATTTTCTTAACGAGTGGAACAACTTAAAATTGAAGAATGCTCCTACATCCTCACTGTCAATCTGTCCTTCGGAATCAAATAAAGATTCTGGAAACATTCCTTCGGCACATAGTGACTCAAGACGTTGAAATAGATCTCTTATCTTCAACTTGCGTCTAAGTATTTCAGAAGTAGCTCGTTGAAGCTCCTTTTCTGGCTTTAGTTTTTCCAGACTGCAAAAATTAGAAAAGAAGTCAGAAGCCAAAGCCCAAGATTTACCTTAAAAAGTAGAAAATTAAACATAAACCAATTGAAGAGTGAAAACATTCCCAGAAGGCCTCAAGTATTCAACAAAACAAGATCTTTCTGAAACTAAACCATCTAAATCCTCTAGCATCCGATAACTAAAGCAACCAACTAGACATAAAAGAATGACTATGATCATAAAGAAAATGGTATAGAACAACTTATGCACCTGGATCCTTTCCAACCTTCACCAGAATAAGCATCAATCAGAGATTTCTCATAGCCTATCCGGTTCAGCAAATATCTCAGATGCGTCCTGATTCTTGAAAATTCATCAGCTATGGCTCTATTGTCTCGTCTGTTCTTTCTCTTCTTCCTTTTTTTCTCTTCTCCGTTACTTACATTGGCAATACTATTACTGGATTCAAGAGTTGCAACATTATTACTTAATTTAAGATCTTTAGGTTTCTCTTTCTCCCCTGTCCTTGAGCGCAGAACTCGGTCACTGCGAACAAAAGATCTAGACATATACTTCCTCTTTCTTGATTTTGGATTTTTCTTATCCTTAGGTCCTAAGCAGCTAGAAATCTTCAATGCATTCTTCGATGGTGTTTCCAACTGTTGAAGACTAGAATTTTGGGTCACATCTTCTGGAAGTGGTTCCATTTCTTTATCACTAAGACTCTTGATTGCATCTTCAAGGGGTGGTTCTGAATGTCCAATAGGAGAATCCTCGCTCATAGCTTCAATAGAGGGCCCCGGTTCTTCAAAAACAATAGAGCTGGATACTGCTTTGCTAGTTTTAACTTCATCATTTTGGGCAGGTACAGAGTCAAGCTGATCTTTCTTTTTTGCTGGTTCACTAGGTAGACTTCCAGAACCAAATTCATTTATCTGCTGTAATGTAATTTGGTGAGAGCATGAAATTTTTTCGGTCTGACAAGTCTTGCTCACATCTTCAGGAGGCAGTCCTGCTTGGTCATTGAGAGAAGCCATGTTCACATTTTCACTAATTGGCTGCAATTGTTCATTGCCACTGCAGATGGGTAGTGGCATAATGGTTTGTAACAGTTCATTTTGTACACAAAATGAGCCAGAAGGATGCTTTTCTTCAGCTGGTTCGCTAGATGAAGTTCCAAAACCAGAATCATTTGTCTGTTCCAATGAAATTTGTCCAGAGCATGAAGTTTTATCAGTCTGATTATTCACATAAGGATCTTCATGAGGCATTTCCAATTGTTCAGTAAGAGAATTCTTGGTTACATTTTGAGCACCGCTTTGACTACTCTTGTTCACATCTTCAGCAGGCAGTCCCAAATTTTCAACATGAGAATTCTCAGTCAGATTTTCAGAGAATGACTGTGACTGCTCCTCAGGATTGTTAGATGCTTTGCAGATTTCCAGTAGCTCATTTTGAACAACTTTGCAGCCAATGTTTTCTTTGGTTTTTTCACTACATTGACTTTCAGAACCAATTTCATGTATCTGTCCTGACGTACTTTCCTCTTGGCATTTTGCAGTTTGACTGCTCACACATTCTGGAGGAATTTCCAGTTGTGCAGCATCAGCCATATTAAAGTGATAAGCATATACAGGGATAAATATGAGTAGCTCTATCTGTTTGGTTCTCCGTGAAGAAGTTGGTTTTATTTTTTTGAGGACTCAAGCCCAAGAGAAAGGGTAGTGATGTTACCCAAATAACTATGTAGAGAATAACTGATCAATACCTCTTTCCACTTTGCTATCCAGTCTTACTTAACAAACATAAAATCTTTAACATTCAATATGTATCCAACTTCGCATTAATAAGTCTCACCCCAAAATGACAATGCAAAGAGGAGTTCCAACCATATAACTACTTCTGATGCTGTTGCATTGAATAACACCAGACACCTGCAGCAGGGGTGCAAAGATTATAAAATTTCCATTTGGAAACCAAGAATAACAACCCTCCCCCATTAGTAGAGAACGAAATGAAAACAAGGAAAAAGGCGTTTCTCGTCTTCTTAATAAAACATTGAATTAGACAGCACATGATGACCCATGAAGATACCATTGCTCTTAACTAGGTGTATATGGGAGTACGAGGTAGAAAATAACAGTGACATAAGCAGTGATGAGAAAGTAGGAAAATGCTTTCAAGTGCTAAATCTAGCTACACTAAGCAGCACTGGCCACACAGATCATGAGAACAAGGATGCCACAAAAACTCCAAAAAGCTTGCATTTGTAATAAAGATTATGCAGCCCAGAATCGTAGCCTTTGATCACTTGTCCTAAATTTTCTAGTGTCAGCTTATTCGGCAACATGCATCTAACTGAGAGTACATTTGAAATGCGTCTCGAAAACTATTCACCCACATAATGTTTACATACATGCATACACAAAAGAATTATTTTGTAATAAGGTTCTTAAATGAGGACCTATTTTGCAACCATCGCAAAAGATACGAATGGTCTTGAGATGTATCTCTCCTACAATGCATGTTCAGTTGTTCCTATCTAATAACTAAACAGTTAAGAAATGGGTTCTTATTTAAAGACAGGATTATTAGTGAACTATTCATATAGAGGAGTGTTCAGACATGCGCAGTTTAATAAGGCAAATAAATGTTTCCGTTCAAAACAATTCAGGAAAAAAAAACCTCAATGGTGAATTAATAACACAAAACTCAGCAGTAATTCTAAAACGTTTATAATCTAGCTGGGTAAGTCCCCTGCCTAATCAAAGCTTAACATTAAGTATCATTCACGTACTTCAATATGCAAATGCTTATTTCCAGCCACCATACTTTGAAAACTCCATTTCTAAGATATAACAAACAAACATAATCAAAAACTTTCTAGCTCATAACCTCTGCTTGGTTGCCGAGAAACGCCACGAAAAGAACCGCAAAAGAAAAACACTATGTCCACTTAACCTGCAGCTCAGCTCACTTCATTGCCACAAAACAACAACAAAACTAATAACATTTCCTATACCCCAGTTATCGCAGCAGAAATCAAGCAGCTACGGAAAAGCTCAAAAGGGTATCAGAAACTCAGTTCAGGCAACTTCTCCAACAATAATCAAATTGGAGAAGAAGAACAAGACCTAAAGCATGAGAAGCTTTTTCTCAGAAACCTAATACCCAAAAAAAAAAATTAAGAGTCATTTATGCTTAAAAAGTTACCTGGTGAATCTAGTAGTTTCCACCGCTAGAGAGAGAGAGAAAGAGAATTGGAATGGAGTTGGATCTGTGTGTGTGTATTTTGAGTTTGTGTGGTTGTGTGTGTTCCCGATACTTGTTCACACCGCCCAGGGGAAAGAAGCGGTTCTCACTAAACACTGTCCTCTATAAATCTGGGCCACCGCTGCGCTTGCTTTTTCCACCCTCCTCTATGCTATTTTGCGCATGGGGTGTGTTTTCTCTTGGTTTTAATGGGTGGGTTGGGCCTTGATCATATGACCCATTGTTGTTTTCGTGCATGGTTTGATTTTTGGTTTGGAGATAATGGGACTATCTACTTGATTAGGCCCAATTATTGTAATTATTTTGAACAAGATCCTCTATGTAAGAGCGCTTCCAGCTGTGCCCCTAGTCTGGGCAACAGTATACCCAAGCCCCAATTTGTAGTTCCAGCGTGCTTCTACAGCCCTGGCAACACATGGGTCCCACCAAACTAGGTCAGCCCAAAGACAAGAACAGCCTGGGTTTGCTAACATCATCGTTTCTCATACCAAAACTCTATACAAATTCATCTCTTCATATCTCATGTGAATAGTAGTTGCCCTTGAGTTCCCATGGCAATGGGTGGAAACACCACAAGTCTTTTGCAATGGCTGCCACTATTCACATGAATAGTAACAACTCTTGCTTTGTCCTTACCACTTGCCATGGCAAATAGGTGGAAGTGCTCTAAGGCTCGGTATAAGGTAACTTGTCAACAATGTGGCAATCTAGAGCCTCCAATATAAGGACTGAAGTTCAAATATCCCTCTCACTCATTTGTCAAAGAAGAGAAAAATATCATGACAGTAAACGTTTGGAAATTTGTGATCGTCTACTAATGATATGTATCATGTAAAAACTCTTTAAGTGTTTTGTGTCCATAAAAGTCCATGCCTATAAGGCCCGAATTTAAGGCTCATCGTTCGAGTACGACTAGACCTATGCAAATTACTCTATTATTATTCGAATTTGGAATCTCTTTCAACATTTGAAAATAAACTAAAATAAATTATTGGTTTTTACAAATAAGCCCATTTTAGCACGACATATTGTGCAAAAACTCATATATAATTTATTTGGAGAGAAAACTCCAAAACTAGTTACTTATCATTTTCTAATTGATTCTTAAAAAATTCTAACACACTAAAAACCAATTAGAAAATGACAAGTGATTAGTTTTGAATTTTTTTCTACAAATAAACTCTATATGGATTTTTTTTTATATATATATATCACTAGCCCCTTGGCATGTGCCAATTGGTTTTTTTTAAAATAAAAATACAAATATTTGTAGAATTCAGAAAAGATAACCTAGATAGTTATGTTTCATAAAAGTATGACCTATTATCTTATTTTGTTTTTCATTTTAATTTTTTTTAATATGAAAAAAATGTGAATTTACCATATTACATTAAATTAATAATTTCAATTCTTAATATTCGAATTAACCAAGGGCATTTTTTGGTATTTTGAATGTTTCATCATTCTCTGCATTTTGTTTTATATAATACTAACCCCTGCCAATTGGTTTTATTTTTTATATTTTTTATTTTATTTTTAGAATTAAGAAAAGATAATATGGGTAGTTATGTTTCATAAAAGTAGGACATATTATCTGATTTTGTTTTTAATTTTATTTTTTTTAATTTGAAAAAGTGTGAATTTACCATATTATCCTCATTTAATTAATAATTTTAATTCTTAATGTTTGAATTAACCAATGATATTTTTTGGTATTTTGAAATGTTTCACAATTCTCTGCCTTTTGCTTTATATAGATAGATATCATATTGGAATGAGTCTACTAATAAAAGCCGAATAATTATGCCCCGAAATCCATAGGATGTGCCTTGGTTACAAACAAACTTATTGCTCTTTTCTCCGTACAAAGGGTAGGCAAAGCATGACTACACACTAATTGCTCTATCTAGCTTCTAGGATAGGTTCAATCCCTAGTCCAGGGTAAGGACAATATGCCTCCTCTAAGGACAACAAAACTTAAGAAAGAGCCACACATGTAACTTATGCTAGATAGAATATATGCCTATATCTTAAAGGGGAGGCTAAAAGTCATTAATGTGCTAAAAAAAAATTGTTTGTTTTCTAAATTTCCCGTTTTGTCCTTATGCATGTGTTGTGTATTGGTTAATTTGAGTGTAATTTTATATTAATTAATTAATTAATTGACACGGTAAGAATCATTATTTATGCATGCAAATGCAATGCAGCGTGCGCCGTTACCTTTGGACTGTACTCTGGAGGAGGAAATTACAGACTTTGACTGGAGACTGGAAATGAAAATCCACGGAGACTTGGGAAGTGGCTAGGAAACCAGCGCTCTGTGCTGTGCTGCGCTGCGTGCGCATGTTAGATCGCCACCGTTATCTTTCACGTGAATCGGGAACGAGGATGCGCATTGCGCATTTACAAAATTTCCACGTGCAGTGCGGAGCTATTTTATTGCACGGACGACTTTTGACTTTCGAGTCAAAAATTGAAATTGCTGGCTGCTTGTTTTCACCTTCCAACCCACCTTCCTTATTAGCACCACGTTTGGTCCACTTTGCGACTAATCAAATCAAACTCTTCCTTTCTCCTCAATTTCTCAAAAGACTATTACTCCCTTTTTTGGGGTCCATCTCACACTTTTAAGACTAAATCCAATAATGCTAAATGTACCATCTTTATGGGTTGAATGTTGATCATATATTTCACAAGTGTGTGATATGTTCATGTCTCTTGTTTCTTGTATAGGTGAGTTTCGTTGTGATATTCGAGATGAAAAGTCTTTATGTATAATCTTAGATTTCCTAAAACTTTCTTACTACATGTGCCGAGATATAATGTGATCAACGGATATCTTGTGTTGGTGCTACTTCTATAATGAGTACGAATATATACGCTCGTGTCCATACACCTAAGGTATTTTATGAAAAATTACATCTAAGGTGTGCCCTAAATATTGTGATTAGTAAAAGGGGTTCGTTCAATAAACTTCTTTTGAAAATAAAATATATTTGTACAAACAAGTAGCTATAATTTTTAGTTTTGAGACCCAAGTTGGAACTGGGGTAATACTATTAATACCCAAAATAATTAATGGCCAGCTAACAAGATATATATGAAGTGTTCCGTATTTCAATTAATAATTAGTTTGTACGGCCAGAAAGTCGGTTTACATGATTGAAATTGATCATCTCTGAGTCTAATCAAGTTTTGTGGTCTTAATCTAATAACCGACCAAGATGACTAATTTAGACGTTTGAAACATTCGTCCGTCATTCACTTATTAATCACGAAATTATTTTATTTTATTTTATTTTTCACCTCAGATCCCTTATGCAGACCAAACTTTGCTCTC